TGTTCTTGTACTTAGAAAAAAAATACTTGGTACGTTTACTGGTGTTTCAAGTAAAGTATTTGGTGCTTATACTTATACTGTGATAAAAGTACTTGATAGTTATACTGGGTGAGTATTAATGAATGGAACATATGAGTACGAAGTACTTTTCCCTAAGTACAAGTAGTTGCACTTGTACTTTTCGTACTTCTCAAGTAAAAGTACAAGTACAAGTACCGAGTACATCTAATGATTGCTTGTACTTGTACTTATACTTTCAAAAAGATACTTGGTACTTGTACTTTTACTTGAAAAAGTACGAAACGTACAAGTAAAAATACTTTCGTCCGAGCTCTGATAGGAATATATGTTTTCTATAGATTTAAATAAACAGATGCCAACACAATCTGGTGAATAAAACAGACTCCATCGTGAAAAGAGAATAAGATACTAATTGAGATCTTGTCCTGCGAAGTAAATGATACAAATTTACAATTACAAAACACGCATGTTCACTTATAATAGCTGAAATTTTTGAAATTTTCAAAATTTGAGCACAAATAGCCTATTAATCTTAAAGCAACGGTTTCTTCAACATCCATCAAAAGTAAAATATACATTACCAGATGTTCTCTTCCACTGACAAATTAAAACAGCGTACGTTAAGTGAGTACAATATTTTAATAATTCCAGTCTCGATTTGCTCTCTGATTTGTGTTAAGTCTGGAACAGGTCTTGTTCGATAGAAAATTTCATTTTCTACCGCACAGTATCATTTTAGATGGGATTATCAGACAAAAATGATGAGTTGGATAGATACCTGAGTGTGAATATATATCTGAGCGTGAGCGTGGGTGAGAACGTTTCATCTTGGGAATGAAAAAGCAATGCCCCGAAATTTTGAAATAAGTCGGAAAGTGTGGCAAATAATCAATTGTGGCCGCACATCTCACCGCAATCACACCCATATATCTACACTCCGGTGGTAGCCGAACTCATAATTTTTCCGTGCGGATACCATCTACAATGATACCATGCGGTTGAAAATGAAAGTCTACGTCGGATAAAAAATGGTTTCAGATCTAACACAGGCCTCAAAGCGAAATCAGGCTGATAATAGTTTTAATGCATTATGAGTTCAACGGGGAAAAGTGAGTATTTCTTGAATAAATTCCATTTTCTGCCCTATGACCTGCATTGAATTTAATTCCTAATCTCTATAGGAGGAAATTCTCTATTCAATACAACCTGAAATAGATCCAATACAGGTTATAGACCGAATCTTGACTCGAATAACCCGAATATCGTGTTACCTTTATTGACCTCAAAACACGAAAAACAATATTCAGCTTTTTTCATATAAACAATAGTTATTTAAAGACAAATGTTTCTCAGTACTACGCGATACGGTTTAATAGCAGATTTTTAACATGCTTCTCGCATTTCTATATCATTCTGTTATATCTATATATCGCTAATTTTTCTCAACAATTGATATATTGCATCATGCTAATTGAATTTGTCTGAAATATTTGTATATACTTTTTGCATACCTGTGCCGAAAAATTAGACTTAGCCGATATTTTTAATTTCTCACGATTCAGCTTCTAGCATGTAAAATGATAGAGAATTTTGCGTTCCATTGCGCTATGCATTTGATTTTGAAGCAATATGTATTTTCGATTTAACTAGGAATGAAAAATTGAAAAAACGAATGGAAAATCTCTCTTTAGAAGAATTTGAGAAGAAAAGCATCATTATTGTGCAAAAAATTTTTTTAATAAAAAGATGTAACACAAGATTTTTGCATATGAATTTGCAGAAAATTTTAAGTACTCTCAAACTATGAAGTTAGTTTCCCGAAAACGCTAGTTGTTAGCGATGAAATAATAAAAATATCGGATAGGTCAATTTTTACAGATGCAAATTTTCCGATGAAAATGTTAAGACTTTTTCTAAGCCAAAATTTAATCTGTCAAACTTTTAAGAATATCATTCGATACATTTTGATGTGCTCTTTCAGAGGAGACTACTTTCAATGGATTCAAATTTACTGATCCGACTAAGTTGTCCAAAATGCGCGGGCATGCTTTCTGAAAGTGAAATATGATGCCAATCAAAATTTATTCCAGGATGAAGTAATTTTATTCCTATCAAAAGATAGCTCGTAGTCAATAGTATCTTTGGTGAAAAAGTCTCAGCGATAATTATTATAACTTGAGAGAAAATGAAAATTTACTGAAAAGCACCGCAATAAAACAGCGTCTAATTTTGATTGAGTACCCATACTTTCACGTAGTATATCTCGAGAATGGCTCATCCGTTTGAGTTGAAATTTTAGACTTATTCCTAGTTCGGATGTACTCATCTACTGAGAAAACATCAGCTAAATCCGTGAGGTCGATTAAGCAATGGCAGTCGTGGCGTAGGTGTGATGCCTCATAGAGAACAAATTTGCCTTTCTATAAACAGGGGTCGCAGCGGCCTAGTATTCAAAGTCAAGAATCAGGTCAGGAAATCCGAAGAAAAAAATCAGGAGTTTTACTCATAAATCAGGAAATTAGGGTTAATAAGTATTCATCATAAATGTTGAATTTTGACACATCGTTACGTCAAGGAAAACGTTTCTAACTAAAGACTTTTGTGTTCTGCTCTTTTGTATATCTTTGTTGTTCATTTCTCATACTCAATTATGCAGTAATGGGAGGACAAAAATGATCTATTGTCTTTGAAGATTTCGCTCTAAGTTACGTTATCTAAAAGCTTTTTTTAATGAAAGCTGATTTTTCTGTGTTGTCATCGTTCTCTGTTCTGTAAAACGGTTATTCACTCCTGGGATGTCAAATAATCAATGCATTTCTAGTTGTGTCATTAAGTCGCCTATTTGAAGTAAATTATACAAAACAACGATGCACTTAATCAATTACGAAAGAAAATGAGGAAATAAATTGAATTGTAAAGTTGTACATAATAAATAAATATAATTTTTGTGAAATTCTCTTTCATTCACCAGTTGGAATAATACTCACAATTGGTTTGAAATGAAGATAAGTGGCCTAATACGGAGTAAGAAATCGCGCGTTGCTTATTTTCAGCAATTCATTACATTCGTTGAATGTTTGTTTAAAAAGTCAGGAAAATCAGGAAACTCAAGGGAAATCAGGACCTATCAGAATGTTCTCAAAAAAGCAGGAAAAAATCAGGAAAGTAGTGCCGCTGCGACCCCTGTATAGAAGAAAAAGAGAAACGAAAAGAGCGAATTTGATTGATTTTCTTATTCAACGTTAGAAGAAGCTAATTTATTTGAAAGAGAAAAATAATCCTATAAAGTACGAATCGTTAATAGTCACCAATAAATATATACATAGATTTGCACTCAAAATAATGTACATTTCTATAATTAAAAAATCAAGCGAACTGGTTCGATGTATAAATAAATCTTTGTAACTTTGAACTAAGCTTACGCTTCTAATGCTAAATGACAAACATTTCTTTAGTTTAATTCTGTAATGAAAATAGCTTTCCTAAACGTACTTTGTTGAGTGAATGTACATAGTTATTTACCAATATCAATCATATGATAGAGTATTGAATAAACAAAATGCTAACGTAAACAGAAGTTGATTTATTAGTTGCTGCCTATATTCAAAACAAATTTACTGGCATGTTCCATGCATACAATTAATCCATGTCGCTGCTATGTACGAGTAACACTTATTTCAATACCATTGGGAATAACATAGCACAACGGAATCATTTTTTTTTATAGTACGAAGTTAAGTGTTACTATTATATATATTTATATATATCTTGAAAATTATTTATGGTCGATATTTTTCTTCTACAATGCATGAATGATGAAAAATTATGTTGCGAAGAAAAATGCAAACATTTACCATCATTGAAAACTATTGAGTCTATAAATATTTCATCGGTGGGAACCTCGTTAAAAAAAATACTCTCGAAATTCTGTGAATTTTCTTTCCCTTAATGGGCAAGCACTTCGACGATCGTATTTATATCATCAATTATTCTTAATTAGTGAACACCATGAATAGGAAAATTTTTGAACAGTACATTTCTTCTCTAGAACATTTTCGGCTATAAGTTTATTACATTATTAAGAATCATATAGTGACCTGACTGAGTAAAATTCACATATTATTATACGAAAAAAAAGGTCAATTGTTTTCTATGAATTCATTAGAATTGAGTTCATCATTATTATTATTATCATTAAAAATGATGAATAACAATCGTAGTATTCTATCTCATTCAATAATGACGGATTTATATCGGAAAATATGTATAAAACAAAACTCAATACTATTTACTAAGCAGGTTACCGAAAACAAGATTCTATTAAATGAATATTTTCGTTATTTTTCTTGATGCGAAGGATTTGTTCAGATATACTGACCTGAACAATTTTTACATCTTATTACTTGTGAAATACTTTTGAACTAAAAATGGATTTCATGTGATACCTTGTGGAGTTGACATTCAAAATGATCCTATGATGAACAACTATTGGAAGTAAAATAGGTAAACAGAATTCAGAAGAAACGCGTCGCCCTCTATTATTTGCACCTGCTTTTGTTATCCTAAATAGTGAATCATCTGTCATCTAATTAATCGAATTATTCTTTGAGCAAAACATTTATGTGTTACTAATAAAACGAATATCATTTGATGCGCAGGTTTTCTTATGGTCAAATTATTTTTACTATTATATTAGCACATAGAAATATTTCTCGCGATAAGTTTAATACATTTATTATTTATCAAAAATGAACTACTGCAACATGGGAAAGATCAGTCAGTTATTCGATAGTGTATAGAATTTAATCAGAAGTCTGTTCGATCAACTATTAAGGGAAAATAAATCATCGTCTTTCGTCGTAATAAAAATACTATTATGAAATATAGGAAATGCATTTAATAAATAAAGTCTGAAAATTTCTGTTTATATAGAGCAAAACTTTTGTCCATTTAATAATAAACATCTTCTTTCTTTCATCCTAGAATTGAATTTTATGTAAGTTTATACTAGTTGATGTAGTTACAACCAAATGGTTGAATCCAAATCTTGAAGCGAAATGAGGAGGTGGTGTATATGAAAATGAACCTTTCAATTTTCCATCTTTTGTAATATGTAAAAGACAATTTAAGTCATGATAAACAACGATCCATTCGTTATAATTAAATAAACAACAACGAATTTGAACATTTAAATTATCTGCACTGTTCATACGAAGAGACCATAAACGATTTAATGTTTGTGAAGATCTTAAATCAACACGAACAGTGTTTTTTACCTGATTTTCAATAACCATAAAAATGTTTTCATCATTATAAGCCATATCATGAATGCCTTCATCTGCCGAACAAGTTTCAGGAGATTTCCAATGCTTAACAAATTCTATTGTTGGTAATAAACTCAACTCTATAATAGATGCACCACGTCGATATGTTGCGAGAAATAAAGACTTTTCTGAACATGTACCACAACACCAAGCATGTTTATTTAAGGTTTGAATCGTTTTTATTGACATGATATCGTCATCGACAAGAAAAATACTATTTTGATTAATAACAATAAATCGGTCTAATACAGATGACCAAAACATATCCCAAATTTCTCCAAACGCCCATGGGGTTTGTTTAATAATTGTAAATTTTTGATCTACTAAACAAAGATTTGATTCCTGATGAATTAATAAATATTTTTCATTTGTTGCTAATGCTGCCCAATTTTTTTTCGAAGTTTTGATTGTTTTAAATGCTGGTGATAGCGATGAAAGATCAAATTGATATGGATTTGATTCTTTAATTCGGATTAAATCATCGGTAGTAACAAACGATTGCATTTGAATATGAAAAGTTGTTTGTTCAGTTTTTGTAATTTCTTTTTCAAGATCAATTATTTTACATTTGATAGAATCAAGATGTTGATCATTTAGATTTTCTTTATTGATAAGTTTAGCTACTTTTGATCGGATTTGATCAATATCATCGCGTTGTTTATCAATTTTACTATTCACATAGGCAGTGAGCTGCTGAGATTTTTCTTCAATGAATTTATCGATCTTCTTGTAACAGTCTATACGCCATTGTTCAAGTGTTTTACAGGCATTAACAATCATATTTTCAGCCTTGAATGCGTTAACTCGATTTTCAAGTACAGTGATTTGATTAATTAATGGATTTAATTGCGAAATAAGTAAATCACGATGTTCTTTCAGATGAAATAGACATACGATTTGCTGGCAACAATCACATTTGGCATACGAATTACCATTGCATTTGGTGATAGTGCACATTGATGGCATATTTTTTTGTGAAGTAAAAATGTTGTGTTTTTGTTTTTAACGACAGGATATAAAAAGAAAAGAAAATAAGAATTACTTATGTCAAATATTTTCATAACTAAAATCGATTGTTTAGATAAGAAACGAAACAGTTTCACAATTCTTAAACGACATTTTGTATGTATTTTTAGTTGATTCATACACACTAGTCGATGATCTTGACTTCGATCTGTTCAGATTCTTGTTTTTCTTGAATATCAGACCAGACAAGATTCTTTGAAATCATAATATTCAGGCAAGATTCTTCGGTACAGGAAAGAAACAAGATTCTTGCCTATTATTCAAGAAAAGCACAATCTTGTTTGATTGCTCAGATAAATAAGAATCTGGCAAGAATGGCAAAATATTCAAGATTTTTTGAAATTCAGACAAGAATCTTTTTTTCTTTTCCTTTCAACGATTCTTATTATATCGTAAAGAAAAATATCACGTGATGTTTTGTGTATATATATACTTATAAATATACAGAAGTTTGAACATTATATCTATTTTTCTAGATGGCGCGGACGAACTATAACAAATATATTTTTTAAATAGACTGTTTTGATCAAGCGTTTTTCGTTTCTTTTTTTTCTTTTTCTTAATTTTTTTGTAGGCGTTATGAGCTTATTGTATATTTCCTTGCACATATAATGCACTTTTCTTGTATTTTTTTATTCGAAATTAAAATATAATAGGACAGAAAGGAAGCAATCATATGGATGCCTAAATGAAATTCATTTGTATTAGAAGGAATTTGTCAAAATGGCAAGAATCTTGTAGAGAAGGAACGACAAAAGAATCTTGTTTGATGTTCAAGAAAAACAAGAATCTGGACAGATCGAAGTCCAGATCGTCGACTACTGTATACACTGAAAAAAAAGCTCCATACGGAACTTAAAAAAGGTTCCGAGATTTGCAACGAAATCTAAACCTTTTTTCGATTTCGTATAAATATGGTTTCGTACGGAACCGTTCCCAGTTAGTATTCAAAATGGTTTCGTACTTCAAATAACCTGCCCATTCGAATGCAATGCCTCTGCGTTTGCACTAATACTACCATTCACGCTTCCATTACAATTCAGGTAACTATCCCTTTGTTAACAAGTTCATTCCTTAATTTAAATCTTAACTTTTAAATGTATACCCTATGTTAACCTCTTACTCTACATCTAGCCCTTAATCTACATCGTTATTCTATATACAACCCTTAATCTATATCCTTATTCTATATCCTTATTCTACATCTAACCCTTATTCTATATCTAATTCTTAATCTATATCCTTATTCTATATCTAACCCATATTCTATATCCTTATTCTATATCCTTATTCTATATCTAATTCTTAATCTATATCCTTATTCTACATCTAACCCTTATTCTATATCTAACCATTACTCTATACCTAACCTTTAACTTAAACCCTTAACCTATATCTAAATGGTTCACCGTTTAGATTTTTGTTTTACAATAATCAAGAGCAGTGTGTGAATATGAATCATCGTCAACTGATAAAAAAAAGACTGATTCACATCCTAAACAATCAGTAAAGTATTTTCATCTCTTCAAACTCACAATTGTTTTTTTTCTCTGTTCGGATTGACCTAAAACGAGAAAAATTCTAATATTATCATTGTACTGACCAATGATACATTTTGTTGTGATAAATGTAAATAGACATTATATGTTTCTATTATTTTTTGATAGTAATCGGCTTTTGTCAATTGTGATCCGATGATTGTGAAGTGAAAAAACATGTTTGTTATTATGATAGTTACCGTGGATTTATTTTATGATATTAGGCCGGGAGAAAAATCGTGTGTGTTTGGTATTCGTAATGTGAATCTTGCTAATGGAGCATACTTGCACAAGTTAGATGAGTCATTTCAAATTACTTTTCTGTATTTTGTTTCGAATTCTATCTCTACGGTCGTATAGCTTATAATTGTTTCATGAGATAACGCTCATTTCCCGGCCGATGTAGTTATGACATAACTTATTCTATAGGTTTATTGTTTTTCAAGGCAAATGGAATGTAAAAATCGCAAAGAAAACGGTCACGAATACATATATAAGTAAAAAAGTATCTAAGAAACAGTGGAAAATGTGCAAAATAGTTTTTGAAGCATTTGCTACTAGAAGTGTCTCAGTTATAAAAAAAGAAAGGTTCAAGCTGGAAACGTTTGTATTGGTTTGTATACATTTATATAAGAAAATATATCATTAAAGGGTTCATCTTAGATTTATGCAGAAGATTATGTTAGTCACATAAAATACAATACAGTCGTTTCAGCATTAACAACTTCTACATATTTTAACTTTTATGTAATAGGTACAAATTCTAGCACGATTATATTACATTCGATGAAACGTGGACAATTTTGCATATATATTTGATTTAATATTATTATTAAATAAAAGCATTCTTGGATATATATATATATACATAATGTCTACATTTTTTAAGTTTTCTTTTGTGCTGCGAAGACTTAGTATACGATAAAAAGTTAAAAACAAATAATGTAAAAAAGTGGAAAATATGAATAAGATGAACAACGTTTGTAGTAATACCACAATATATACGTAAAGCGTTCTACCAACTTTGTAGATAAGCAACGTGGTTCTTTGCTTGTTCCATTTATATTCGAAATATAGTGCCGTTAATAAATTATAAGTACTTCGACTATTTGCTTTTGCTTGAGGTACTTAATATTAGAAACAGTGAACTTGAGATAGAATAAGATGAGCAGCAGAAAAATAAGTGATTGGTTTTAACTTCACTCAGCAACAAAAAAAGTAATGACAGAAAGCGCAACTCTACAACTTATGTTAACCAAAAAGGATATAGGAGTATTTTACAAAACTTTGTTGAATTCCAAACCTTAAAAAGGTTTATTACGGCACCTTGTTGAATCCGAAACCTTGAAAAGGTTTTTTGCGAAACCTCTGATGGAACTGAACTACTACAAGGTTTCGTTTTTCCGATCGAAACCTTTTGAAGTATAGTAAAGCACCACGAAACCTTTTAAGTTCCGCATGGAACCTTTTTTTTTCAGTGTAGGTACGCAATAACTCGATGGGAGGGAGAACAAGACGAAGTTCGCGTTCAATTTAAGCGCATGCGCTTAAGTGAAGATCCACAAAATGACGAACGAGTTCTGCAAACACAATCCGTGATAGAAGATATTGTCCAACAAATATGCTTTACGGAAAACAAATATATCGGCATCTCTCATCATACTACATGAAAATAGCAGTTATTATTTTTTCGAGTCTTTTCCGATTATGGTGAAATTGATGACTACGAGTTGGCAGCTCTTACCGAGAAGTTCGAAAAGGAATATTATGGATACCTATCGGATAACCAACTGGTTCTAGCTATGGATAGATTTTTCCCTGAAGCAGAGCCTATGTCACCAAATCGGGCAAACAATTCAACCGAAAAGACAACAATCATCGAATTCCCAACTTCTACTGAACACATGGAACTTCAAAAGTCCCATGACGATAATGATGAGTACTTCTGAACTGGAGCACTCATTCGTATTCGTATACTGTTCAGTGATTCTATTCGATGATATTAATTCATGGTACACATTTAACTCATCTAACTCATTTAACAACATTCATTAAACGATATGATACACGAAAAAATCGTCATCCAATGAATTTATTCTACTAATCAAGAGAAGTCAAATACATCTATCCATCTACACTGAAAACAAAAAAGGTCTCACACGAAACCTTAAAAGGTTCCAATTTTTGAAACGAAATCGAAACCCTTCTAGGTTTCGTAGAAAGTAGGTTTCGTAAAAGAGAATAATTTTATCTCCTATAAAAAAATGGTTTCGCTCTTCAGGTTCCATAAAATACGTTACGCAGTATCGGAGAAAGGTTTCGCTGAATAGTATACTCTACTATTAAAGCAGTTTGCACCACTGTTCAATGCAAGACTCATGCATAAGTATCTGCTTTCGCAGCTATCTCAACAACAAAAGCACTGACGATCTCAACCTGTTTAACTTATCTTCTCGCGGCTCTATCACTACACTTCCGATTGTCAACTATTGAGCTATACAACACAACGTCCACTATCTTAGTAATTAGACTCTCTCACCGAAACCGAAAAGACAAGAACTTTTTAGTTCCTTCTCATGGGAACGGCTACAGTATCCACCATATCAAACCGAGAACAAGCCAATACAGATAATTCCTTTTGGAATAGCACCCACACCCACAAAGGATAGTATTTTTTTACCTGAGCTTTATGAAAAAAATGATTGATTATTTTGGTGAGTTAATGAAAATAATACCACTGCTGTCAAGAACCTAAATAGTAAATATTCGAATATATTAATTATACTAGTACCTTCCGAATCATAGAATTCTTCATCAATCTAAATAGAGAATGAATTAATTGATTAATTCTAATGGTAACTTACCAATAATAGAATTCTTCCTGAAAACTAAATAGAAAATAAACGATTTAGCTAATTCTAACGATACCTTACCAATGATAGAATTGTTCGAGGAATCTAAATAAAAAATAAACACGTAAATTAATTATGATGGTAACTTAGCAAAAATAAAATGCTTCCTAAAATCTAAATAGAAAATAAACGCATGTATTAATTATGATGATAGCTTACCAATAATAGAATTCTTCCTGAAAACTAAATAGAAAAGAAACGAATTAGGTAATTCTAATGGCACGTTACCAATGATAGAATGGTTCCAAGAATCTAAATAGAGAATAAATGAATTGGCTAATGCTTATAGTAACTAACCGTTAATATGAAAAGTATAGTTTGAGTGTGAGATGATGCACACCGATAAAAAAGTCCGAGTAATGATCTATCCATGCACTTAAAAAAGTTGCCATTAAACCCTTGAATGGTTTATTCCGATGTGATGAACCCTTTTAGCATCTATTAGTTGAAGGGTTTATGACGCTATGGGTTTATGAAAACTCAAGGGGTATATGATGGGTACACAAGGATTCATTATTCTACGATTTTAAGATCAGAGTATATCCTTCAACGGATGATCGTAGATTGTTGTTCGCTTTCAAGGTAGGGGTATTCTATTCTTCGTTATCGGGTTTACTATTTTACTTTTTCGTTAAAAGGGTACATCACTCTGCCTTTCTGCGTAGAGTAAGCTATCCTTCTCAGAAAAAGTTCATTATTCTATGCCAAAGTGTAGATTCTGCTACCATTTTCTGCTAAGGGTTTAGTATTCCACGTTCAACAGTTGATTCATCTACATATTAATAAAAAGGGTTTAGTACTGTATGTGAACGCTCGATTCTATGCCGCTTCATTGACAGGTTTTTTTTATTCTACTGACAAATATCGGCTTATCTACCTTAGCATCTCAAGGGATTATTTCATTGTCGGTTTATGGTTAATTCTACTTCTCTTTTGTTGAAAGAAGCTCATTGTACATCGTACATGAGTTGATATTTCCGCCCTTTCATCGGAAGGGTTTATCATTCTACGTAGAGAGATCAATTTTTCTACTGTTTGATCAGAAAGGTTTATTACTCTACGCATAGGGGTTGATTATTTTACCTTTGCGTCAAAAATAGTTTCTTAGGGTGTCGGTGTGATGGTCTGTATCTGGTTAATGTTACTTTATACAGTCAAACACGCGCTAACTTGATGGCAATAAATAGTAAGACGCCCATCGTTTTTGTTTTGCACTAGTCACAGCCGAAAGGAAAATATGAATTACTTATTTGGTGAAGTTGCGCTATACATGAAACAATGTTTTGATATGCGAAAATAGGAAGTAGCGAAATTAGAGTCACACTTCATTGACTCAAGTAAACATTTTATGTTAGAAAAAATGAAAAAAAGATGTAACGACTATATATACAAAGTAATACCTCTTGTAGGCTCACATTAAAAAAGAAGCATTTTGACATCGGCTGGTACGTAGTCTTATTCGATCATCGATATTTTTCCATCAGCGATGTGTTTGATTTTTACAATATAGCAGTGTAGATAAAAATGACAGCAAAACGGACGAAAGATAAACATACATTTTTGTGTTTAATATGAAGATATTGAAAACATTGAGATAGAAACTGGTACAGAGGCCCCACTGTAACTTAAATCAATTCACAAAATAGAAATTTATATTTCTATTTAACCAATCAACAACAAATTTTCTATTTACGATTCCTAATCTGAATCTGAATCTTTTCTTTATTATTATTTTTTTCCTATTTATGCTATACAACCCCACACAAGAGAGAGAGAGAAGAAACAAAAGAAGAAAAGACATTTGTTTCTTCAACTAGACTATTTTGTATATAAAGATGATGGTGCATCATTCTATAAATGCACCTAAATTACAGTCGAATAAAAGATGCCATTATTTACATCGTCACGCACGGGAGGAAAGAAGACACAACAGAGAGATATGCAGAGAGAGAAAAGAAAGAATGAAAAAGAACGGTTGACGTATGTGCATCTCGAGTTGGATTGCACATATAAGAAATACATAACGTATAAAGACGAAACAAGAATGTATAAGAATAAATAAATAAATAACTTGTTAGAGTACTCTCTAACACCTTCGATAGGGCTTATGAAAATGAAACGTATCATAAGCCCTTTTTTAAGCTGTTCAGTCGTATAAACGCTATGAAAAACCTTTCCGCACGCGGTATATTCACTTGATAAACCTTTTAAATTCGCTTTTGATGGGTAGATAGAAGGGTTTATCACATAAACGATAGAAAAGGGTATATCATACGTTGCATTTTCATAAACGCCTTAAATGTTTATTATTCGGCGCTTTTTTATCAGTGTACGTGCATATTATATAGCCAAATTTCAAAACTTGAAACAACGCTAAATAAAGAAATGAATGAGATCTAAAGAAAAAAAGCAATAAGATAAGCACATCAAATAGTTGTTATAGATTCAGCAATTGTTTTGGGGAAAATAATTGAAATATAGTAACTACTGGATCGAAGATCTAATCTAAATTAATTAGTTCAATGTAAAACAAAAGAATAATTTTTAAAAAAAATATAGCAATGTTGTAATCATACTCCGATAAAAGACAACCAATAAATATGTTGCATATTCTGTATCATAACCGCTGGAATCTGATGAGAGAAAACAGTTAGCAACGAATGCAATAGAAGGTTTTCCAGGATGAGTTCAGCAATCTGTCGATGAGATTTAATGAAAACAGATTGGATGAAATTGTGAAAGCGCCAGTTGATTGTATGATTACCCAGGTTGTTCATTTCTACAACTGGATCCAATCGGATCTGAAAACGGGTTACCTCGGATCGAATGCGATACATATCCGATCGTATCCTACTCTGGGATCCGATACGCCAAAAAGTCTGCTATAGCCAACCTCTAAAATGCTTTTTTGCACTAAATAGAATTTTGATAATTTTTTTTAATTCTCCCGTCGGATACGTCAATAATTCCGAAACCCAGAGTCCAATTGAATTTCCTCGGTTAGTAGGATGTTATCGGATTCGATAGAATTCGCCATCGGATTAGTCGACCTGGATAGTCATGCAGTTGTGCTGTTATATGCGATGTCGAGAGAGATCGCTTTGTTTTTTTACGATATGGCATGAATACGTTCTCTTCGCGAGGTATTTTAACAAACCTGTTGAAATCCAAAACTCAAAAGGGTTTATGACGAAACCTATTGTAAATCGCAAATTCGAAATAGTTCACAACGAAACCTTTTTAAATTTCAAAACTCTTAAAAGTATATTACAAAACCTTGCATTTTTCTGAACCTTGTACAGATTTCGTATAATTCCACGAATATCTAAATAGTATCGTACAGCTCCGCGAAACCTTGAAGGTTTCGTTTGGTACCATTTTTGTTTTCAGTGTAGCACACCAGACAAAAATCAATTTCTATTTATTTCGACAGCATTTTTATCATAATGGAAAAATGAAATTTCATCTATCCAAAGCATTTGTCATAGTACCTTGTAGGTGTGAGTGAATCCACTCTTCCTTTCAGTCATGTAAACGACAACAACTACACACTCTCAAGAAAATTTTGCGTTCTATACGACGAAAAGTGCTTACGCCCGCATCGTGATTCGATGCATGTTTACTTTGAAAGCTCTGAAATATATAATTGCCATCAAGATGCTAGGAAAATAAAACAAAGGTAAAATAATGCAGTATCATAACATCTGAAGTTGACTCGTTCTGTTAGATGTTACTCTATTGCTAAACAGCATTATGCTTCATAACCAGCATTTATGATTTAGGGCTAATAAATTTTGTGGTTAAAAGTGGTCTTTTTTTAACTTTGTGTATCGCACTATTTTATTTTTTAGATCGTAAATGACAGCAACGTAAGTCTCACCAGAAAATACTTACACGACTAAAACATGGTTTCAACTGAAACTTCAAAATCCTGACAATGGCCATTTATGGCTTAAGGCTCGTATTTTGAACCGATTTAAAAGGCGTACGTTGACAGCTTTGTATCTGTTTGAACATCGCAACACAGAGACGCAAGTTCAAGAGCCATCACAGTCATCTGTATGGTCATCTCAGGTCCATATCGGCACTCGAATTTTATTCGATCGTATTGTCACTCGATGGAAACCTGGCTATTTATTGTCAACTTCTCAAGTTTCAACTTCTGCTCTGCATGCAAGTTTGACACCTGAAAGTTTACTCTCTGTGCCAGAGGTGTTCAGTAAGTCGAGTGCAAAAGAGATATTAATTTTGTATAAGAGTTTTCTTTCTAGCTCAGTCACAGCGTAACAATCGTTTTAATGTCAAGATTGCACAAGCTCAGTATGAACAGTGTTTCTTGCCTCTTTTATATCATGAATTGTGGGAAGGAATCAAACGTGATACACAGGAAAATCAGTTATCCAAGATTGATTATAGTTTTGAAATTCAAATTGCTAAATATGAACCTCAGACTACGCGACGAGCTACCCAGTTTGAGTCACCTATCCCAACTACTTTAATTTTTGGCTCATATTCTTTTCAAATTGATCTATCATTCACACGCTCATTTCCAAAGCTCGGTTTATGTGATATTGTTCTAATCAATATTGATCCTAAGCATGACCATCTCAAGTTTTTTGGTATCATTGTTCATGTTGTTGACCTTTGGCCATCACACATTACCGATACCTCATCTGTAGATCTGAAAGATTATGAAAATACAAAAAACGTTATTCAAGTTGAATCTAAAGTTGTCCTGTATGTTTCTAAAGCATGTTCACATGCCGTGAAAGAACATTGCGATAAGACGAGACCACAACAACTTTCGTTAATTAAATTGAGCAATATTACGTCATCTCGACGACATATAAATGCCATTTATAATCTAGCATCGCTCCCAGAAGAAAAACACCGAGCTGTACTCAATCCAACAGATAGCGATCCCTATTTTCAATATGAAAAGCTTGACAATTTTCAAGAACCGCAACTTGATAATTTTAACGATGTTCAAATGCGATTGATTAACTATGCAGAACAAATGTTTAAGTACACAGCAGCTGCACGTCTACATCTTGTACATGGTCCACCAGGTCTAGTTATCTGTCTCTCAAGAACTTTTTATCAAGTCTGACCAATCTTTCTTGGTATAGGTACCGGAAAAAGTAAAACAATCGCAGGTATTGTTGTGCAGCTGTTGCCACAGCTTAGTGACAAAAGAAAAATCTTACTCTGCGCACCATCGAACAATGCATGTGATGAACTGCTTAAGAGAATTTTGGTTGAGCTTGATTCTAAATATGAAAAGGGTGATTATTAATTTTTATTTCTAGTCTTTGATGTACGTGTAGAGTTTATGCAGGAAAATTGGTGCGAGTTGGTCGTGCAGAACCTCTTGACCATCAAGTCTGTGATCATTTTCTCGAATCTCTTACTATGGAAAAGCTTGTCGAACAGATACTGAACGGGCAACCAGTAACACATGAAACAACAGACAAGTTCAAGGAAAACATTCTTAAAAAAGCCAAAGTTATCGTTTCGACTTTGAATTACACAGCGAATAACACACTTCTATTAGTTAAAAAGAAAAAAATGGTTAAATTTATCATTGTTGACGAAGGTAAGATTTTGTTTTCCGGTTTCTTTTTTCTATCGAACATTGTTCCGATTATTTCTGTGAAGCTTGCCAAAGTCTTGAAGCTGATTGTCTTTTATCATTCTATTTCAATTGTTATAAGATCATACTTGTTGGTGATCCTAAACAACTTCCTCCGTGCGTTATTAGTATCGCTGGTCAAAGACATAATCTTTCGCAGTCATTATATACTCGACTTGCTTCTAAAATTCATCAAACAAGTATCACTTTACTCACTAGACAATATCGTATGCATGAAGATATATGCAAATTTCCAAGCGCTCATTTCTATGATGATCGACTTATAACAGATAAAAGCACAAGAAATTATTGGCTTGACTACCCTCTCGAACCGTATTACTTGTACAATTTAACATATACAGAACATGAGTGTCCACCCAATGGTGGATCATCATACAACAAAGAAGAACGAATTTTTATTAAATCATTCTGCATCAAAATTATTGAGCGTCTGATTGGAGGTCAATCATATGTTAGAAATGATAGTAAATGTATCGAAATGGAAAAGCGTATGATCGTTATCACGCCATACAAAAACCAGATGAAAAATTTTCGTGACAGACAACTGGAATTTCCGCGTCATATAGAAGTCATAACTGTGGATAGTGCACAGGGTAAAGAAAAAGATATTGTTCTCATATCATGTGTTAGAAGCATACGAAATGGTGATATAGGTACAATTGGATTTTTGAAAGACCAGCATCGTCTAAATGTTATGTTGACGAGAGCGCGTCGTGCTTTATATATATTTGGTAATTTAACCTGGTTAGCCGAGAATAACTCTAACTGGAATGCATTGGTCGATGATGCTACGAATCGACAAGTTATTGACACTATATATAATGCTGATCAGAGACCGACTTTACCTGAGTGATGCTATATTATATTTTATTGCAGTATTAGAGTTAGAGTAAGAGTGTGGATGAGATTTTTCAAATGGGTTCAGGTCTATTTTCGACGAAAGCATTTCAGGTTAAGTTTAAATAAATCGTCTAAAGAATTACATCTTATGATTTAAATTAGTTCCTATAATATGAAATCACCCATATTATGTGTCATCACACTGCAAATATGGATTGCATTAAAGTGAATTCTTAATTGAAGAAGTTCATAGTTCAGAACATCCGGGTGAAAAATAATCCTCCAACTATTGGTTGATATACATCTACTTGTCGGTCAATGACTAGTTGGTATTCCATCTATCGTCTCGGTATTGGCAGATAAAAACTCAAAGACGAGACATTTCATTGACAAGATTGAGATAATTCGATCCATTTCCAAGATCAGGCATAACAATTACGCAATGATATATAACTTTTCAACTAATCGGCATAAAACAGAGGTCTCAATTAGTCAGATCGGGTCAATAAAGGTAAGCCAATATATCACCCATCTGATTGTATTATATCGACGGTTGCTATTTCAAAAGAAAGAAACCAGTAGTTGAACTCTCTCGTTCGCAGGTATTTTCCCCTTAATTTCTTGTTTTGTTATGAATGTATGCCGGATAGGAAATCAGTAATTACTCCTATGCTATGATTTATATTTCACTACATGAAAAAATAGTCAATATTTTCGCTCTACAGTCAATTGCAGATTATTTACCTATAGTTTCATTATCATTCAATATTAAACAGCAAAATCTGTATCATCGGTGTAATTTCATACGATTTATCAAAACAACAAAAGTTTTTTTTGCAGACATTGACTAAAGAACATATACTGACAATTAATTTATTTTGTTGTATTATGTTTTATATTTGTCAGTAATGCTTTGTCATAATAATGTTAGAATAAAGTTTTCGAATGCTTCATTGTTATTAGAAGCTCATTAGTTTTAGGAAAGGACCAATCTCACGAAGAAAATTAAAAAATAAGTAATATTTATACATTTTTCATTATACCAAACACTAGATTTTATTGGAACGAAGCTGATTATCGAAATCAGTATGGGGTATGAATGTGGCTATTCTAAGTGATACACCCACACCTACAACAATGTCTCTTATAATATTGAGGGTGTACGCGTTTTCTTCTTAGACAGGTCCACACCAGAGCATCAACCAGGCCACTAGGCCTGCCTGCCTGCCTGGGCCTGCCTGCCTGTGACAGGCACAGGCCAAGATCTTGAGGCCTGGCCTGTCACAGGCAGGCCAGGCCGAACCCTCGTCCAGGCAGGCAGGCGGCTTAAAAACACCAGGCCGCCTGGCCTGTCTCTATCCTTTATATATATAATTTTATTTTCGATATAAACGTTTTTTTTAATTGAAGTTGGCGCTAATAATCAGATGAAGTATAGAATAATGTATTGTGTTCATTGTGATTGATCCAAATGATGAATAATGTTCAGTTCAAATTGCATAGTTCGTTTCCTTTCTCCATTCGCTCTTTGTGTTTTCATTTATCTGTCTTTTTTAATATTACTGATTATTGTTAAAACCTTTCTTATTGATTATTATATAGATCTTTTTTTATCGATTCTTAAAATCTTTACTATCGATTATCATCAAGTTTCTTATTGATTAATAGAACCCTAATTCACTCTCCCCCGACGACTCCCCGGGGATTTCTCTGGGGAAAATTAATAAAATTTTTTAAAATGAAAAAAAAATTTTTAAGTTTTTTAAATTTAAAAAAATTAAGAAGAATTTATTAGTAATTAGAAATTTCATCCATTTTGACCAGATAACTCCCCGGGGAGTCCCCGCAAAAGAACGAAATCCCTAGGGACTCCCTGGCGATTCATTTAGGGAGAGTTGACTAGGGAATTCGTTCATTGATTGTGGTCAAAAATTCGTTCTTTATTATTATTATTTAGATCTTTCTTATTGATTATTGCTAAAAATTGTATTATCGATTATCATCAAGATCTTTCTTATCGATTGTTAAAACCTTTACTTTTTTCTTAATGTTATGCGATGCTGTCTCTGATGTATTCTTTTTTGTATGAAAACTTCGATAAGTAAATGCTTCATCTAGTCATATTAAATTAATTAAACTGGTTTTCTTCATTCTCAACATTAATTACATGTTTCTATTCTATCCTCGTAATGATATTAGCATTAAAAATAATTGACAGGCTTTGCCAGGCAGGCCAGGCAGGCCGTACAGAATGGCAGGCAGGCAGGCCAGGCCGACCAAATTAGTTGACAGGCACAGGCAGGCTTGAAATGCAAAGGCCTGTCACGGACCGGCCAGGCCTACAAAAACACGGCCTGGTTGATGCTCTGGTCCACACCCACACCCAAATTTGTATGATAATGATCGTATCCCAGGTCGACTAATCCGACGACGGATTCTATCGGGTCCTAAAAAATCCTACTAACTGAGGAAATTCAGTTGGATTCTGGGTTTCGGAACTATTGACGGATCCGACGGAAGAATTTTAAAAAATATCAAAATTATATTTAGTGCAAAAGAGCTTTTTAGAAGTTGAGCATAGCAGACTTTTTTGGCACATCGGATCCCAGAGTAGAATAAGATCGGATAGTATCGGATTCCGATCCTACGGATCCGAATCTCTGCCCGAAACCCGGAATCCGACGGAATCTGTTGGTTCTTGTCGGTTTTCATGTAAGATCCTATGCAACCCATTTTCAGATCCGATTGGATCCGATTGTAGGAATGAACGATCTGGGATCTCATCTCATGCTATCCGTTGAAATATCACAATTCAATCAGTAAATTGAGAGGAGAAATCATTCCTCTTTCGTTTCAACTAGCATTATCGACAGCAGCAATACAGAGATGTATCTTAATGAATAGTTATGTTTCTTGGACGCAGTTTTTGTTTGTACCAGATGCAAATAACGGAGAGAAAATTATATTTTGCCGACTATTATAAAAGCAACTCGGCTGCCCAGTGGTAGCGAGAAGCAAAGGGTGTGAGTGTATGTTTTCTCTTCATGTGTGCCCATACCCACCAGTCAATGTCACTTGAAATATTTTTCAAAACTCGCTCACATCATCATCTCATCCTGAAGATGTGTTTGATTTTTTTATGCATTAGAGTTATATCTTTAGAGATTCTTTGCTATTGTTTGCCATCTGACGCGGCTCTCTTCATTGAGGCCGAAATGTGAGCATCGTGATAGCACGTAGTTTATCCCTATGATAAACTGACCCTCAACCATTTCGGCATAACCGCAAAATTTTGAGTTTCTGCTTGATTATTGGGGTATGTTTGCATTTTTGAGTATAACTTATAGAAAACGATAAGAAAGGCTCGAATAAATTACAATTGAAATGACAATAGAAGGGAGAAGAGAAGGACAATGTATAAGAACGACGGTTTTCTTGATTACAACTATGAAAATGAAGCGAAATGTGCGCATTTGTTTAATGTTCAGGCTCGTTGAATAGGATCAAACTTTTGTTGCCCTTTCCTTTTACGAGAAATTATAATAGCAGTGCGTATATAGATACAGATAAAGGCGAGGCAGACCAGAAATGCGACAATAGCGACAGCCAGTTCTGCGGCTGCTAGGCTTGGTTCAGGAAAGCCGCTAATCGAGAAAAGGTTGTATTGAACGGAAAATTGAACTCTATAAGCATTGATGGAAAATGCAATGATCGCAAAACAAGTGGCTAAAATAGTGAAACCAAACGATACCAATGTCAAAATATGTACGTTCTTGACACAATCTAGGTTAGACAAACAAAATAATCATCTCTGATGTTAACATATGGGCATTACTTACTAATAACAAGGATGACAATACCAGCAATAAGGATGAAAACTCCACACCAAATACCAACTCCTGATGTATATGCACTTGCGGTGCTTGCTCCTCCCATTTTAGCCACAAATGCAATTTCGAGAGCAATCAATACGAGTGCAAGCAGTATCAACAAAGTAGCGATGATGTTAGAGATCTTGTATGGCCAAGTCGATTTCCACAGAAGATTAATCGGTGATATTGGCTGCCCGTAGCCGACGATAGGACGATTTGGTAGACGGGGTCGATATGGATGTCGAGCGTTGAACATTATTATTACTAATGATATGATGTATTTCTCAAATTGAGAATGAATTCCAGTGCTTTTCTCTTTTAAGTAATCGACGATGAATGAATAGTGCTAGTGAAGCTTTGCCAAAAATGGTTATTATAAGAACTGAAAATGAGAGTGATATCCTTGGTTCAGACCGAAAAATTAAACTAAATATATCAATAACTCTTCCTCTCCTTCTTCCCTTTCTTTTTCTCTACCATGACTTTCATCTGGTATGACTAGATCAATCGATTATATTAATTGCGTGAAGATTTTATCGTAGTCATTTTTCATAATTTTTCTTTCCAAAGTGAAAACATGTTGCTCTTCTTCATTTTAAAAATTCGAGTTGCTCTTCCGGAATCAAGCATAACTTTGATGGAGAATTCATTTGATGTCGCCCTCAATTCCATATTGTCTATCATTCTCTTCTATTTTAGATACTCTGCGCCTGGTATAAAGAACAGAACAGAACACCGATGCGAATCAATGTACAGCAGTAGAAAAAATAATTACTTGCTATGCAATGAAATTGTAGATCATTCTTAATTGAAATAATAAAAACAAAAATTGGTTACGGCTGACAACGAGCACACATTCACTCTCGAGAATGCAAATTGGAAAGTGGCAGTGAAGCGGAAACGATTGAGGCAAAAACTATAATTTAGCATTCTATATTATACAAACTCAAAGAATAGGACATAATGGCGTGGATTAGGGGTGGTACTTTACGTTAATTTAATATTAAGTGTTAAATAAAACTACTTAATTAACTCAAGTTAAAATCAACGGTCCACATCTAGTGTGGGTGATTTTTTCTTAGACAGGTTCACACCACACCCTGGAATGAGATTTTGTATAGTTTTACCACGTTGAATATCTCTCATATGAGCACATGCTTTTAAAGCTTGAGTAATGGCAAAATGCGACAACGTGGTAATATTGGTTATTCCGTGTTGGTAAAGAATTGCAAGGGTTTTTTTTAAACTGTTTTTTTATCATTCAATGATTTCATTTCATTAGCCAAATTAAATGAAGATTGAATGTTCGTTAATCGTTTAAAAACAAATGTTGACAACGATGAACAACGATTTAACAACCTGATTGCCATTATATCTGAAATGAATTGCTAATAAATAGCATAGGACTGCATAGTAAGAGTGCACAGTAGTGAGCCAAATCTGTGAACCTACCCGAAGTGTGAATATCTCATTTTCGTATCATACAAAATTTATAAACCAATGCGATTAGTTGATATATTGCAACCATCTATTTTTTATTTTCTCTTGAATTCGATAGATATCACACTCATTCACGACATATTCGTATAGACTACCAATCATATCATAACTAGCAAATCAATTTCAATACTTTCTGATAGAATAATAATCAGCAGAGAATTGTGATCAAAAAGCTACAAATGATTTAAGAAATCTTTTTTTGATCGCAATAATTGTTTCTTGAGCGATGCAAATCGTGCATCATTCATTAGGTTTCTTGTATCACAGTATACTTCAATATCATAAATGTTTATATTATCAAAGGAAACAGAATGGAAGCCAGTCGGATGAGTTACTCGTGTTGAGTTTGAGGGCGTGAGTGTGGCTATCTAGTCGTCGCTCACCGATACACACCCTCAAGTTTTGATGAAAACTCAATTTTTCTTTGTGTGCTCGGTTACTTTAACAGAAACAATTCCCATTCATAATCAAAAACAAACTCCATTGATGAATTCTTATTTTCTGTCTGAAAGAGAAAAATAAAGAAAAGGGTCGACGAGAGGAGACGTTGAACACAATACCCGTTAAGTTGTTGTACAAATGAAAAACAGGCGAAAGTTGGAAAGAATAAAAATACAAGAAACGCTCTGTTGCCATTTTTTCTCGTTCATTTCTTTGCTACCAATGATATTCTCAAAGATTAAATTCAGTTGACACATTCCTCGTTTTAAATATTACTTGAATATTTGCCAAGAAACTTAGATTTCGTAGGTGTGACACTTCTGTTCATCTACACTACACTCACACCCTATCGAAGGCCAAGCGAATTCAAATGAAATCTTTGTTCTATTTTTCCTTTTTTACTCGTTCGTGGTACTAGATTCCGTATAAAAGTTAAAATAGTTTTTGTATTTTGTGAGGCTCAACGAAAACTCTATTTCCCCCAACTTTTTCATGAAATTATCATAAAGTTAAAAACTTTTTAGCAGGAGACTAGCCCAATTCAGTAGACTTTAAACAAAGATTTTATTTGAAGTTGATTGGATTTCTGTTGGCCTAGTTTATATGGGGTGTGGGTGTGCAAGTTTGGGTGTGCCCATGTCTGAAGGCCTTTCAGATCTGTAACCAGTTTAAGATGCCACCCTCACACCCACACCCTTGAAACTCACTTTTTGTTCACTATTTTTGTCATTTCATAGGTCGGAAAGAGTCTTGACTCGATTAGTTACAACAGGTATAAACTGATAAGTGGATTAAAACCATAAATATTTAATTTATTTCAAAATTATTAAAATAATCACATACGATGAATGTTGAATTACATAGCTAGTTCTATCGAAGTGATTACGGTTGTGGAATTTCAAAAGAAAACAATGTTGAGGGACACTTTCGCGTAATTAGAGTGGCTCTACTTTCGTAAACTCCATTCCAAGGAAATTTTAATGGAATTTCATAATTCATATGCTCTCGTGGTACTTTTTCGATTTCTTCATTCGCAATAGGAACGTTGGATAAAGAAAATATAGCGGCCATATGACCATATCTGCATTGTTGTGATAACTTGCCCGACTGATTAATGTCATTTTCACAAGTCTTCATAAGCTCTTGCTCATTATCTTTCATTCGTTGGACAAATACTTGACGAAATTTTATTATTTCACTTTTTGAATAAGTGCCTTTCTTTCGGAAATCTATTTTAACAGGCACATGATTAATTCTTGTTTTCGATCGCATTCCAGGAAAATCAACATTGTTGGTTTCGTCAGATATTTTCTCACTATTTGTGAGCTTTTTTATACGTTGCAATTTTGGAAAAGATTGATATTTTTTTGACTCAGACGTGTGATACCTATCCCGAGACTCCTTTTCTTCAGCATCCGAGCGGGATTTTATGTATACAAGCCCTCGTTGCCTTGAACCAACTAACAGTTTTGGATTTTGCAAAATTTCATCGAGTATTGGAAATGTTGCATCATTGATATCACCAGATAGAGTGAATGGTGCAATATTTTGTTTTGTCTCTGCGTTTCGTATTTTTCTCAACATATTCTGGTACGCATAGATTCCTGAGTCGAATAAAATCGTTGGTATCCCTATTTGCTGTTCGGATTCGTCGTCCAGAAACGCTTCAGTTTCTAAAAAATGAATGATATTAAATAAAAATCCTGTGGATTATGAATTTAAGCTACCTTCGTGTTCATCATCATTATTATTATTATGTTTTTGTCTTCCTGCTTTCAAATATTTTTTACAATGATTTTCTCTCGCACGAATAATTTCTTCAATTTCATCTATGAGAATTTTTCTATCATTGTCATGAATTTGATCTTTTTTTATGCTCATTAGTTTCATTACATAGGTTTGATAATTGACTTGTCGTTGTTCTGATGTTAGCAGAACGCTTAATAGACTATAATTTCGATGATATTTAGCATTATCATTTTGTTGTGTTACGATTGAGTCATTGAATGATTTTTGAAGTCGCGATACATAACCCGGTTTCGTGTATTGTAACTAGAATAAAAATGATTATTTACGATCTTTCGAACTCATACCAACATCAAGTACTTACAATTTTTAACAATAACTTATCATATTGTAAATCAAAATAATTTTTCGACCCAAATAATTGAAAATACGTATCATTTAAAATGGAACTTTGTAAACAATCATTTAACATACAGTATTGAGTTTTCACATAAATAATCTGTTTACCAGTTTGCTTGACATATTCTATGGTATTTTGACTGAATGTATTATCAAAATAATCCTGACTTATACAAAGTAAGACACATTCGGATTTATTAACTTGGGAAAATGCTTCATCAGATCCAAGTAGACCGATCCATATGCAAAAACCTTCATCTATAAGATGATCCGCTAAACGATGCGATATAAGCGAATCTTGCTGACAATAACTTATCATCACATTGTAACATATGGAAGATGAAATATTTGATGGGTTCTCAATGATCGTTTTTGATCGTCGCTTGTCCGTATATAATTGTGCAATTTGTTGCTTTTCTTGTATTAATGCATTATTCAATCGATACTTTTCTTTAGCTTCATGAACATTATTGATGGGGCCAATTAATCGAAGCTTTTGATCGTCACCGATTTTTGGTAAAACGCGTCTATCATAGCAAAACTTATAAAAAGCATTGATTAAATATTGATTCCAATCATTAAACGCATCTAATTTTATTTTAATAATAGATCCTTTTATATAATTTATCATTTTTTCTTTGCATTTTTCTAAATTCTTATGCATGGATGACATCAAATTAACGGTAATAACTAAACAAACAAAAACAACAGAAGAATTGATCGGATTGAAAATATGGCACATTTTATCATTACAGTAAAATTCTATGTTTTGCACTTCATTTTTTTGAAATTTAAAAAGTGTGTTGGGAAAATGTTATTGTGCTCGAGAGATATACTTGATGAGTCTAGTTTCAGGACATTTAGATGTGAGTGTATGTAAAATCTTACTTGATAATGGACAAGAAAATGTAGCATAACCATCATCGTTTGATTCCATCGTTTGAATAGCTGATAAAAGAATCTCATGTAACGTTTGTTGATCAGGCAAAAGAACAAATGAAATTTTCAATGGTGACTTTGCTAATTCAATTTGTTGTTTAGCAGTATAAATCATGTCTTTAGCTAAAATACTTTCCTTTTTATTGAAACCAGGAACTGCAAATGCGATTGATTGAAGGTTTAAAATTGATTTTTCATTTTTCATCATGACATACTCAATGGATTTCGAAACAAATGATTTTACGCCCTGCAGGAAAACATCTTCGCTTGGAGTTGCCTGTGCTGATGGCCAGTTCGCAAATAAGATTATTTTGCATAAAAGATTACCACCTGTTGTTTCGACGAAGTAAGGAATTGGGCTGGTATCTCCCTCATTTACTTCAGGTTCTACTTTTTGAATAGGACCAGCTCGTTCAACAATACTTTGTTTTAATCCATATGGCATGGATGGTATAATAATTATATCGACCTAGAATTCGAAGAGCCTGTGAAATGTGAACTTCGCCGGTCTTATTCACTTACCTTCTGTACTGCTATATCACCAATGAGAACTTTAATAGATCCATTGGATGATTTTGATTGTAGCGCGACGAATGGTGAAGAAGAGAATACTTCAGATTCTTTCATAAGCGATCTTGAAACAGCATAATTTGTTAAGGATGTTTCTGTGGCCTTTGATATTTGATATGATTTTACAGTCTTTTTTAATTGTAAGTCACACCCACAATGATTTCGCCGTGCAATATTCGTTAAATATATCATTTCTGCATTAGCTATATCATAGTACAATGGCATACAATCAAATGTGACGGATTTTAATGAAGATAATAACGCGTTGATACGAAGCTCAATATCATTTTTTAAATGTTGTGGCGCATAAAATGTATCGTGGTATATTCGGATGTTATCGTTTTTCTTTCGATACTCGTCTTCGATTGCTTTCAATTCTTTTGAACCAACGCCTGAAAGATATTGTGCCTAAAGAATAATCGCACGAATCGCCTCTAAATATTATTTACATAAAAATAGAACTTATTTACTTGAATGGGAGTTATTGTATTGAGTTTGAATGTCTGTGAAGTATCTTTTTCCATTAAATTTCGAATATTTTCTATGAATTCACGAACTAATTTGTCATATCCAAATATATGAATACTTTTTTGTTTTCTTGATTTACTAATAATATTTTCATTTAGAGTAATAGAAATCGTTTGATGTTCCTGATTGTATTGTTCAATTATTTCTTTTAATTTATTTTCATACTGTTGTGCAGGAGTGATACTATTCGTCGGTGAACTATTTTGTTCAGAATCTTTGCGAGACTTCTGAACAATATCTTTGTCGACTGTTGATGCGAGTGTGATCACTTTTTTAAAAATATGTTTTAAAATGATATTATCAATACTGTGAACAATATTAGAATTTTCATCATGGAAATAGAAAATTTCTAAAATCCCATAATGATTTTCTTTCGATTGACATATTGTAAATATGTTATTTTCATTATCCATGATAGCTTGTATGATGCCAATTGCTGCTGGATTTTGTAACCACGTTCTAGCTGAAACATAGTTGAAAATCATTGCACAAAAATTGTAAAGCGAAGTTATAAACTTTTTACCTCGAGTTGATTTATAAGTTTTTACTTTGACATTTGTAAATAATTTTTTAATATGATCGTAAGCACTTTCAACATCTTGGTTTGATCCTGATAAATCTAATGTGCAGCTGGATGTCGATTGTTGAATTTTAATTTCTATACCAGGTGCTTCTTGCTGTACACATGCGATTAGATAAGGAACAAATTTTGGCTTTTTGAAAAATTGAATATGAATATCGTCATTCACCAAATATTTGGTTTTATCGACATGAGCATTGGAATCAGTACTTATTTGATCATTTGTTTGCTGATTTTCACCGAGACGGACTGGTGTTGAGGGTTTCCTTAACGGTAGTGGTGAGGGGGATTTGTCCTACAAACACACATCAACAGAAATAGAATGGGTCTGTACAAAGCCCATGCATAACTATGACAGAATTACCTTAGGTAGATCTGGTGTACTATTGTTGATATTTGTAGTAGAGGATTTAGAATGTTTGGACTTTCTAAAGCAAGCAAGCGCATGAAGTATAATTCATCTAAAGCAGTAATATCCCAAATGGGAGTGACATTTTCACTTTGCTTTCCGAACAGAAAGGAAAGGAAAGTTTTAAAATGAGATGAGTTAAGGATTTGAAAATTGTCCGTATACACATAAAACTATTTTGTATTCCTTATTTTACTTACCGCTCTCCCATTGTATGTCTCGTACCTGAGCCTACTTTTTACTTTATTTTATTGTAATCAATTAATATGATATTTTCTTCATGAGGGGTGGGGCTAGAGTGATACTTTCACTTTCAGAAAGTAAAAAAATGTGAAAATGTCATCGTTAATATCAAGTTTTTCAATACTTACGGCCTTTCTTCAATGGCTTCTATTAAATCTGTATTTGAAAAATCGTCATCATCAGTCCAATAGCGTTTAGTCTCAATCGATGGTGACGAAACAGATGTTCTTCGCGAATATCTAAACATAAAAGAGATATATGTTAATTAGGTTTTTCACTATATTATATATATATATATTCAGTTTAATCACAATTATTACTTGTCTAGTTGTTCACCAACTATTAGCTGATTTTGTTCCAGTTCAGCCATTATTTTCCAGTCATCTAATTTTTCTCTAAATTTAAATTTTACTTCGCTTGTCGGCCTCTTAACAATTCCATTTTCATCGGATGTGCCTAATATTTGTGAAATATTATCATTGTCCATTCTCATTAAAGCCGAGCCATCGATGTTTTGGTCTAATATCATCATTCGTAAGATAAAAGGAATATGCGATGGGCAAATGAAATTATTTTACCTTTAAACGGTTTTACATTATTTTCAAAACTATTCTCTATCAACCAATCCCCAACTTGTTCTATTGTCCAACTTGCCATTGACTACAGAATAAAACGAAACGATAAGCGTAGATCAAAATTGTGACAATACAATATGCTCAAAAGGATAACCGGCAAGATGCTCCCCAGTGACACTTGCTGCTAGCGCACTCGATCCTCAACAACATTGGCTCCTATAACAGTGACTCCACAACAGTGTATGATTCCTACAAAAATGTGGGGGTGGGGGGTGTGAAGAGGATAAAAATTTGCCCATATTTGCACTGACACAATCACACACTCACACTAGTACCCTCAAATAAATAAATTTATATCTTAATCTTGTGCTGATTAACATTTTTGTTAAATACAGTTAGGGAGCAACTATCCCGGGAGCATATTGCTGGGATTCACTCAAAAGATGAAAAACTATTTTGTCTAAAATGGAATTCTTCCAGTTAAAAAGCTTCCGACCCAATGAATTCTCATGAATATAGTGCATAGAGTAAATTCCTCAAGAGAGAAGCCCGATTTTCAGCGGTATTTCTAGAAAAATATTGCACTCATCGGTTTTAAGGCTGCTTGTCAACTATGCATAAAAATGTCAATTGTTAAAATTTAAACCAATTCTTCGTATACCAGAGGTATCCTCTATGTTCTAGATGTACTCCTCTTAAATAATTCTTCAGTATTTACGATGTCGAAAGAGTTATCAGAGTTCGAAATCGTATTGCTTTTTGCCGATTAGTATTGTGTTTGCTCTTGTCCTCGTTGTTTTTTATCTGGCGATAAATCAATAGAAACCACAGCGTACATATTTATCGGTGTTTCTTAGTTTCAAATCTTACTTGCTTAATATTTTTCAGTTGTCTGTCGCTCGATGATATCAACTGGACGTAAAACCACACTGCTGAAATAGTTGCTCTTATCTTAGATGCCTTCAGTGTCTTGAATGTGTCTCGGATAAGTACTTATTTACTAACTGATAACCAAAGACAAAAGCGAACTTGGAATACATTCTTTTTGCTTAAAATAAAATGCATCACGCAGCAGAAAAAAACGGAAGATAATAAAAATAAATCAAAGCTCACTACCACTTCTTATTCAGTTACTTTTAAAAAGCCGTGTTATCAAGAATTACATAAACCGCGAAAATCAAGGGTGAGAGTGTGATTAAAACGCTTACCGATTCGCCGACACTCGGTTCATCTGATAAATTTCAACTTTTTATCATTGAAGATTCGTTCATGGAAATTAGGACAGTATCCCAAGTTTGCCAATGGTTGGGCAAAACTGGTTTTGAAAATTACACTGAAAGATTTAAAGGTAAATGAAGCCAGTGACATTTTTGTATTCTGTCATATTCGTTGATGTATTAGACGAAGGTATTGATGGTAAGGCCCTCATGAAAGTGACCGATGATCGAATTGAATACTTATTATCTATAATAAATCACTATGGGGTGGAAGAAAAACCAAGCAATAGAATAAAGCGTATATTTAAAAGAGAACTAGAAGTATGGAGAGCAGAAATTGAATATGAAAAAAATAAGCAGAGAATCAAAAAAAAGTAAAATATTTATTTATCAACATAGATCGTTTTGTTCAGTAATTTTAATTTTATTTATCGATCTTTTCTATTATGATATTGCCCAGTAAAGTTGATACGACGCCTAACCGGACAGCATTGCCAAACATGAATAATGCTGCAGCACAACGAACACAAATGTAAGTTATTTGACAATACATCATAGAGAGAGATTCATAATTTAGTAAATAACGAGGATTTTGTTGTAGATGATTTCACCCTGACGTATTTTTCTTTGTGCTTTAGAATTCAGACTGATCTAAACTCTTCTTTGCCTAGTATTTCAATTGGCAGCGGTATACGAAAAAACTCCAATAAAAAACAGTAAGTGTATAAGATTCATAAGTAGGCTGGAACAGTAGTGATGGGCACGGATTATATCTATTGATTCTTTCATGTAGGTCTGCCATTTCATCAACTGAGACTTACAAACAGCACGAGAGAGCCAATAGTGACATAGAAATATCGTCAAACATATATTCGATTAAACCTATGGACATCACTATGATATTTTTCCGTAACGAATTATTCTCTTCTAGTTTAATCGAGTACATTGAGTATACGTATAATGTAAGATGCATTATTTTATCGCAAGATCAACATAATGAAAACTTGGGAATACAAATACAATTTTCGGGTGTTAAGCAAAATGTAGAAGATGCTCACAATGATTTAGAGTCATTGTTTACAACTGTTACAACGAAAATTTTCAATGACGAAGAGACAGATAAAAAGGGTAAAGAACTCATCAGTTGTCAAAATTTGATTTGGTTTTTCTTTGAAATGTGAAAATATTTATTTTTCTAGCGATTTCATGGTCGCAAACTATTTATTCCGATTTGGATATTAATATTATACAAAAAACCTTCGACAAACTAAAACTATTCACTGTATGGGAAAAGACAGATTTTTTAGCAGGATATTATGTGGTTCACTATTTCACAAAAAGTGGTGCATTTTATGTATCAGAAGATCATATTAAGCGAATAATGTACAATCACATAGCATATGTCAAAGACATAATTGTATCGGACTTTGGTAACATATCAAAATCTTTCCGAGAAAAACTAGAACAGCTTATCACTCAAAAAGCTAAAGAACAACAACAAAAGAAAACATTTGCTATCATTTATTGGATGTATCCCGGGCAAACAGAATTGAAAATTAGTTTTTTTGGGCAACATCTTCTCGTAAAACGTGCAAGTACACAACTAAAACATCTAATAAATCAACATCAATTAATACCAATCACCACTGAACTAACTCTTACACAAGTATGCATACAAAATCTATTGAATAATCACTCTTTTTAAAGATAAAATTAATACTACTAAGCAAAAAGTAGTTCTAAAGAGCACCAAAAAATACTGTTCATTTTATATCTTGAAATTTAAGAGTCTGAAGTTTTTTCATCGCACGCTTGTTTGGTATACATGATTTTCTCCTACTTTTAGCGCAATTGTCTACTAGATAATTATGTCCATCAATTGAAAAATATTGAGCTTGAATACAATGACTATGATGTCAAAATTCATTTGCGAGAAAATCGTTTGTATGTTCCTGATCATTTGAAGAGTAAAATCTTACAAAGAATCACCAATCTTATTGATTCACAACATCCGATAACTTTTCAATGCATTGGAAGTAATTATATAATTACAAACGATGAAAAACTACAAATGGAAATAATAGCTCGACAGTTCAAATGTGAAATTTATAAAATCGAATACCAAAGCAACATACAGCTTGTGACATTACCGAAATCAACGAATACATATACGTTATCATCGGTACCAAAATTTATTATTAATAAATCAAAAGAATTTCATTCTTCGTTATCAATCTTGGAAAAACTTTCAATATCAAATAGCACCATAGAACTCCATTTCGCTCATGATTCGACTGCGCCAACGGTCTGCGCGTACTTTTTGTATGATCGATGTTGCGAGATGATATTTTTTTTATTTTAGGCTGATTTTAATATTCTTTCTGTGATTACCAATGAGGCCACGCAGAATGGTCAGCTGACCGACAGTATGGTCGACAATGAGAATGATAGTCGTAGAACTATGGAGATTTGTCATGTCTTACCATATTGGTCTACTGTAAAACTTGATAAGAATAATTTATCGTTTAAAAATTCAATAGAAAATTTCATTTTCAATTCATTGAGAGATGTTTCAATTCTTAGTGCGAATACAGTGAATACAATTGCATTTTGCACGAATGAATGGGAAAATTATTCGCCTCGAATACGATTGGCGGAAGAAATTATTAATGAACTAAAAATTCAACTTAAAAAAGATCAATTTTCTCACTTCCATTGGAGAATATTGTTTGTTTTTAATCGAAATCAGATTGAATTATATAATCAATTTTCACACATAATATCATCAACGAAGACGAACAATAATGATTACGAGCAATTTTTTTATCCAATATCAAGTACGTAATGCAATAGAATTTGCAACTATTTAATAAAGCCACCCAGATCGAAAAATCTGACGTAAGACCTTGCAAACCGGACGTCAGAGCTAACAATCCGAACGAAATCTTATAAGCATCAGATCATACTATATTTTCTTTAAAGATCGCGCATGCAATTTATTTTCAATACAAATTTGTCGTGATATTTTAAGGAGATATTAGTTTAATTAAAATATCACAGTGAAATTTCTATAGGTAGCAGAACCTATCAAGAATCGTCTGATACGACTTAGTGTAAGAAATCAGAGATGACGATTTTTCGTCTGATCTTGTCAGATCAGATATGATTACACGCACGATTCTTGTAAGATCTTGCTGCCTGTTTTCTCGCCCTGGGCACTGTGAAATATGTTTTCAAAGTGCAATCAGAGCGACTGGTTCATTTGCACATAAAAACATTCATTAGTTGCATATAGAAATTTAAAAACAAACTTTTTAAACATATTTTAATTGATTCGAACATATTTTTAGGTGTTACGATAAATTTTACAACAAGCGATGGCAATGTGGCTAAGTGTCATCAAGCCATTCGAACTTATTTGTGTAAAACAAAATTTAAAACAATTGAAATTCGCCATGCCTTTGATTCTGACATTTGGAATCAACATTTAATTAATAGATTTTATTCTTATTGTCTTGAAAGATTTGTTTTACCGAAAAACGATTTAACCGATCGGAGTTTGGTACTTGTTGGTTCAGTATCTAATATTAATGAAATAGAACAGAAGTATAAATTAATGGATACGATCGTAAGACAAAAAATGGCATTGCCAGCACCTGTTTTAAGAAAACTGCAGCTTGATCAAAATCACCAAGGACCAAAGAAACAAACATTCGTTAGTGTACCGGATGCATTTAATATTGTCATAAGCTACTGCACGGGTGATAAAAAATTAGCAGATTCTCTTACTGATCGTCTAATTGATGAAGGTTATTCAGTGTATGCTGATTGCTCCGATCAGCCAAGATCCGTGATCGAGCCTAAACTGAAGAAATCAGATTTAATTGTTATTCTGTTTAGTGAAAATTATGGAACAGATGAACATTGTTTAGTTCAGCTAAGACTTGCGCAATCAGTTGGAAAACAATTACTTCCAGTCTTTTTAAAAAGCGCTCTCTTGCAATCAGACTGGATTCAATATATTTCTGTTTTAGAATTATATCATGAATTATTCGAAGAAGATGTTCAATTTGAATTAGATGAAAATTATGATTTAGAATACGATAGATTGTTGGTGGAAATGGTGAGTCAGCTTGAGGAAAATTTTCTAGACACTCAATAGAAGATTATTCTAATAATCATCATGACTATCATGTTTTGTAGCTTCAACATACAAAACCTGGTGTGATTGGTCAAAAATACTCAGTCTCACAGGCTATTGCTAATGAAGATCAACAACTACAAGATGGATATTTTGCATCAAAGCCATTAATACAACTTACTGCTGAGCAAATCGAGCAACGAAGAAAAACTTACGATGAAAAAGTGAAACAATTAATGGAAAGAGAGCAGAGTTCAAATGATGATATAGAATACTCAATTAAAGCTGCACAAAAAGCTATTGAAGATTGTGAAAATGGTTATAATCCGGATGATGCAGATGCGATTTCTGAGCAAAGCCATCGTGATGTATACACTTATAATGTCAGTGAGTAATAAGGTTCTTTTGGGTGTGGGATTCTCATGTAATCACCATTTTCCTCTATTTTAAATGAATAACTTGCATTGTTTTACCGATTTTAGGAGAGATAACTGAAGTTGACGATTATCTTGCTGCATTTCTACTCTGTATTAAAGGTTGGATTGATAAAGCATCGAATGGCAATCCTGCCGTTTGCAATATACCACCATTTACATTAACCGGCGATTTTAACGATGCCATATTTCCAGTTACGATCCCTAATAAGAAGGCATGGTGGAGAATTAATAGACTTACATCCTTTGATCATACTTTAGATACGCATTATTTTTATCCTGTTGTACCTATTATTGGCTCATGGGCTAATCAATGTGAATCGTTGTACTATTTACAAGGCTGCATTGCTCGTGATGTTCGATTTCACCGAACTGAAGAAGCAAATGGATATACAAATTTTACAACAGAAATCAAAAAAGGTAGCACGGGCTGGGATATTACACAGGATGCTGTATTATTGTGCGCATACAAATATAGAAAAAATCGAAAGATCACTGAAAAATCACCACTTTGGGATCGTATAGTTAAACGAACTATAGAACTCACTGAAAGTATTAATGAGAAAAAGATCGATCCAAAATCCAACATTTTACAAGGGAAAATCGGACATGAATTGAAAAAACCAAAAGAAATACAAAAACGAAATCAACTCGATGATCCAAATAATGAGTATTGGAAAACTAAACGCCTAAGTAGCGCTAGGGAAGCTTTTATTCAACAGAAGCTAAAGAATATCCTGGAATTCGAAGAGTTTTGCAGACAATCGACAACGAACTAATATTTCCTTAAGTATATGAACTTTAATTGGATAATTTCATTCGATAATAAAAAAGAAAACACCAATGCGTTGCTTTTTTTTCTTCATGAGCAATACACATAAGATAAGTTTTGTTTCAGTGAGAATACTAAACTTAGCTTGTAAAACTTCATACAATGATCAAACCAAACAATATTCACTCATTAGCCTGATAGTTTCAATTGTAGCATATCTTTATTTTAGATAAAAAAATTGATTTCTCCTTACATTCAAATGGATTTAATACTTCAACGACCATTAAATATTCTTGATCAACTTCGAAGACAACGCTTAATATTAAAAGTCGAAACTACCAAAGAAATACTCGACGAAATTGTTTCCTATTTGCATACGACTAATAATCGAGTCGATGGTTTACATCGATTAAGCGCAGTTTGCCAAGAATTCTCGTCCGTTTACATGTTAATACCATTTGATAATTTGGAGATCATTAAGCATGAATTTTTCATCATTATTGGACGTACATTTGAAATGTTATTAGCGAAAGCAAGACTGATGACGATGTCGAAAGAAGATGAGCAGCACTTTTATGAATTAAGTTACTTCATAGTAAATTTATGTTTTCATAAAAATACAGAAATAGAAAACTTTTATATTGGTAATAATGAAAAATTAAATTATTATGATGACGAAGAAGGTTTTAATTCAATGTCATATCAAAGAATATTTTTAACCAAATCTTTTTTTGAGAGATTTATTAAATTGGTTACAGATGATTTAATTATCAATGATTACCCCCCGTTCCATGTCAAATATAAAGTTGCTCATCGATTACTTCATCTTTGTACTGAATTAGACAATATTGATCATAACGTCCTAATCGATCCGATTATTGAATGTCTAAAGTCAAATTTTTACCTTGATACTTTCAAAACAGTTGATCTTCGTCAGCCAAATTATAATCCTAAACAATTATTCTTTATCTCTGAATGTGCAGAATTTTTAAGTCGACGTTGTTGGAAGCGTCGCACTGATATATCGAAAATGTTGTGTGCGCCTATGTTAGAATTTAGTCGGGATATTTTCAAACAGCATTTACCTATTTTATTAGAAGGAGAAAACCTAGACAGCAATAATGAATACCTTATGAAAGGTGCTAAAATACAAGCAGTGATTTTACACATTAAACTATTGAATTATTTTGCCTTGGAACCAACAGCAAGGAAATATTTCTATCGAGGTATGTGAAAACCTCAATTTCTGAGGTATATTCAGATTTCCGAAAAAAGGAAATTACCAAAAGTTCAGAAATTTCCTTTCATAGAAGTCTGACACATTGCTGATTGAATTCGAATGTACTATACAATAGGAGATTCAGAATTGAATTCAGCTCACCAATATGTTTTATTCTTAGGCTCACGATCAAACAATAAAATCATCAGTCGAATGATTAGAATAATTTCACATTCATCTTTAATAGAAAGTGTTTATGCTAATCAACAATTATTTCATGCAGATGTTGGTCTTGTTTCATATGCAATAACTTTGTTATATAATTTAGTGTTTGAAAAGAAAATTTTCTATCTATTGCGGCAAGACATGCGTGTTTTAAATGCGTGTTCAGAATTAGAACGCGCAAAAGATCTTACCATACAATTTGGATCCCAAACATTATTAGCGATTCTAAATCAAAAAGAAATTGATCAAATCAATAATCCATCAGAAATCGTGCAAAATTATTTGCATTATATTGAAAATATGATCGATGAACCAGAACATACATATCATGGGGTTCGATTAAACGGTGTACTTACTAATCTTGAAAGTAAGTTCATTGAAATCTGCCTTTGATCTAGCATTCAAAATTTTAATTAGGTTGTAGAAGAGTTGGTATGAACTAGAAGGTCTACTTTTCGAAAAGATAGAATTCTCCGAACAAGAAATGAAGAACGAAATTATTCTTTTTTTCTTTAGTTATTGTGCAAAATGATGAAGTGAAGGAGGAGATTACGAATGATGACAGAGGCATACCAGTACTTGCGAGATGTGTTTATGACAAACGTCAAGAAGATGAAATTCAACAGACGGCTGCGCGAATTCTTTTATCGGTTTCATTTATCGGGCAGAATGCCGTTGACAAAATAGTAGATAATGAACCACTAATGAGCTGTGTTCATCGTGAATCAAAGTCAAATAATATGAAGCAAAGAGGGACCAATGAAGGTCTCCTATGGAAAACTGGTGAGGAAGATAAATTCATTTTAAGGCAAGAAGAAAAAAAACAGAAAGAACAACTAATGATTCAAGAGATCACGCCATCTGATGTTATTTTTGAAGAATCAAAAGCTATTTATCAATATGTTAGAGGCGATTATCGCTTTAATTTAGGCGATACCGCAATATCAGACATATATGTAATGATAAGTTATTGCGAAGATGATATAGAAATATGCCAGCGAATTTATGATACCCTGAAAACGAGCACACCTTATCATCTTGCGATGGATAAATATAATATGTATAGTGCCAGCCCAGCAGTTGTAGCAAGTATAGCTGAAAAAGCAGACGTCGTTGTTATGTGTCTTTCAAATAAATATCGGTTGTCAACTGTATGTCGATTGGCAGCTGAATATATTAAAAAACGGCAACGACCCATTATTCCAGTGATCGTTGAAGCTAATTATAAACCTACAGGATGGCTGAATATTGCTGTTGGTGTGAGAAGATTCATTGATTTTACAAACGATGACTTGGGTGTTACCTATAATGATTTAATCCGAGAAATCGCTGACATTAAATCAAACAAAAACTAAAAACAATCATTGGCATGGACAAAACTTTGAATATACATACTGTCTTACCAATAAATCACTGTAACCGCTTTCTTCCTCTATACAGTGCTAGCATATTAATTTTTCGCATTCATAAATTGAGTAGATACAAGATAATTTTTGACTTGATCCTTTTGATCGAGCTTTCGAGTTCGATAAATATGTTATTCGCTAGTATTATTTGCAACGATAATTCTATAAATTTTGTTTTGTAGATTGGTTTAAAATTTTGAACCGATAAAATGATTTGCTAGTTGAAATCTTAATTTTACAGCTGAGCGATGGCACAAAGAAATCAAAAATTCAGTGCAACATCTTCGAAAAAGTCAAATGTCGTTTCAAAATCCACCAGTGCTAAGTCTTCATCGACAATTGATAATACTGCAAACGAATTAAAGGAAGAAGAAGGTTTAACGGAAAAAGAACAGTTTCAGATTTGCGAGAATTTCATTGTATTTTGGCTCGATTCAAGTTCGAAGAGCTTAAATGAAAGCGCAATTAGTCAAATACGATCCATTGTCAATATCATCAAATCATTTAATAATATCAATGAATGCATCAAGTCTATCGTTGAGATCAAAGACGAAAAAATTTTTCTTATCGTGTCAAATTCTCTTGCTCAACAGATTGTCCCTCTTGTTCAACCATTTGTACAAGTTGACTCCGTCTATATACTTTCGGATCGTGAACAAATCAATCAAAAATTGAGTACAGCGTATATTAAAATAAAAGGAATTTATACCGATATTGAAGCACTTTGTAATGCATTGAGAAAGATTATTCGACAGTTAAATAATGATTTAATACCAATAAGCATTGTTCCCCTGTCATCGGGAGATAATCCAGATCAACTCCCAACATCATTCATGTATTTGCAATTATTCAAAGAATGTATTTTAACAATGCAAAGCGATTCAAAAATGGAAATACAAGGATTCGTGGATCATTTCACTTCATATTACAAAGATAATAACAGCAACATAGATATTATCAAACAATTAAAAAGAGAATATTCACAACATTTGCCGATATGGTGGTATACGTTACCGAGTTTTCTATACGAAACGCTCAATGCAGCTCTCAGACAGTTCAACGTCCAACATTTAATGAAAATGGGCTTCATTATTCGAGATCTTCATGAACAAATAAAAAAATTACATTCTCAACCAAGTAACAATAAACCAATATCGCTTGTTTATCGAGGACTATATTTCCCGACTAACGAACTTGAAAACTTGAAGAAATCAGAAAATGGTCTTATTTCTTTTGATCAATTCTTGTCGACAAGCACTGAAAAAAGCGTTGCTATGTCTTTTATTCCAAACAAGGCAGATAAACCTGATAAAACGCGTGTTTTATTTCAAATAGAAATTGAATCATTCAATTCATCGGTGCCTTTCGCTTCTATACATGAATTTAGTGCTATATCCTCAGAAAATGAGATACTTTTCTCTATTTCTACTGTATGTAAAATCGGCAAGATAAAAGAGATAGAAGATGGTCTATGGGAAGTGAATTTAACCTTGGTGGATGAAAGAGATCCATTACTCGCACGTCTTATTGAGCACATGCGAGTTTCACTTGGAAATGGAAATAGTTGGCATCGACTTGGTCAATTAATGATCAAGATGGGACAATTCAAGCAGGCTGAATCAATCTATAAGGATCTGCTCGAAGCAACATCTATTAGTGATAAAACAGAATGTTCTTTCTTACACAACCAGCTTGGATATGTTTTTAAGCAAATGAATAATTTGCCAGAAGCATTGTCTCATTACGAAAAGTCACTTACTATTAAGCAAAGTTATATGTCACCTACTGATTCTCGACTCTCTAGTATATATTCGAATATTGGCGGAATTTTCAAGGACCTCAATAGACTTGATGTAGCATTGAAATTTTATCAATGTGTTCTCAAGATCGATCTTGGAATGTCAGAACCTAATCCACTCGAGATTGCTATCGATTACAATAATATTGGCTCGGTATTTGATGAACAGGGTAAGTATTCTGAAGCGCTTCATAGTTATAAAGAAGCATTAGAAATCAAACTCGATTACCTTCCACCATATCATTCATCTCTTGCTACTACCTATAGTAATATAGCTTTAATTCTTCGTAAAATGGGTAGTGAAGCTGCTGAACGACATCAATACGAATCCGAACGTTCAAATTATAAAGAAGCACTTTCACATTATGAAAAAGCACTTAACGTACAAGAGAAATCCCTGCCAACCAATCATCCCTCATTAGTCTTGACTCATGATAATATAGCAAGATTATATAAAATGCAAAAGAACGAATTGAAAGCCATTGAACATGCTGCAAAAGCTGATGATATTGCTAAAGTCGCTTTTGGTATGGATGATCCCGAACGGAAAAAACGGCAGCATTACTTAGAAGAACTTGAAAGGACGCGATCGGCTTTGGTGCGTCGAGCAGGCATCGTTCGAAAGTAGTAATATGTTTTGTTAAATCCTCTATGATTTTGATTCTTTTTCAAAATTAAAATAAAAAGTGGTAGAGATGTTATTCTATTCACTTCTATAATTCTTGCAACTTCGAATTTATCCCATGTTGATGGATGTGTGAGAACGAATAGCTAATCATAAGGTAAACAAAAAACTTTTTGTTGAGTTCGAAGTTCGAACATACGCTAAACAAAGATGTTTTAATGCATTATTATTCATAGAAGTTAAAAGGAATAATCAACGACATTATGATGTAAAACAGGCGGAGTGGAAAGGAAGAAACCTTTGTACGTTGCATAGAATAAATGGACATTTGTTGTCTAACCGAACAATCTTTAGTTCTTGATTGTTGAAAATTTTAGAATTTTCGATAGACGCGTTAATGACAATGGCGTCTCGAAAATCATAAACAAGTGACACTCAACGTAGGAAATAGATTAAAAAAGGAGAAGTGGCAAGGTTCACATGAAAGAATTCCCTCCGTTTCGTTGATCAGAAATTGTTGATTCATACCTATGCGAAGACAATCTAAATTAGAAAAATTCTTGAATTGATTTCTATGAACATTTTGAGGCCGAAAAATCTGAGCCTACAAATAATTTATCATTATTTTAGAGTTCGACTTTTGAGTGTGAGAGTGTGGTTGCCCTATATTCCATCAATATAAATCCACGTCCACACCCGAGAACAATAATCATAAAAATGTACAATGCCATTCAAAAATCAGTTATACGAAAAATCGATTAACACGTTAATGAGCGGTAGAAATCAAGGGGATGTACAAAGAAAATAAATCACCCAATTATGAACAATCACTAGTATGCATGAGCTTCATACGTTTCTCTTTCACTGATGTATCCCTTTGCTTATTCATGCTCTTGCTAAACCACAGGTACATCATAGATATAGGCGGTGCCCCTACGTAGCGATGAAGCAAGGAATCACTTTTAATAGTAGCTTTTCTTCCGCTTTGGGAGAGCCATTGAGTAATATGGTTCCAGAATTCATTTGCATTAGTTACTTGAAATTTGGCAATTTGCAAATATTCGGTTCTCTCCAGCATCATTATTGCGTGTTCCACATTCTGAATACTAGTTTCAAGATGTTTGACATAGCGTGGCAAGTTTGAAAGGATATCATTCATAAATATCATCCCTATTGTATCAAAATCACACACTATTTCAATTGAACGAAGATTCGATGCTTGATTGAATAGAATTTTTGCGCTGGCATTGAAACTTATAATCTCAGTCTTAGGCCAAAGCACCAACGTCAATTTTTCAAGGCTGGATAAATTAGCAACGGTTGAAATATATTCAATTAAATCCACAGACCCTATTTGATTGATTATGAGGCTAAGTATTTTTACATTTTGAAAGAAATAACTTGGTGTTGAATTGACCTAAAGCAAAAAAATGTAGAATATTTTAAAACATTCAAATAGGAAATATGAAGTATTCCGAATGAAGAATTTTAATAAACTCGGTACGGATCTTGAGGGTGTGGGTGTGAGTTTCAATTAAGATGAAGATTCACCCTCAACCCACACACCCTCCAGTAAAGATGATACTTTAAATTGTAGAAAATTCGAAACGATGACTGATCTTCGTTGAAAATGAAGAGACATTTTTTTGTTGCAGCACTATACTCAATCATTTCAAATATCTTGTTGTGAGCATCCTGTAGATGTCACTATCCAACATCAACAGTGTTACGCTCTAGTTATTATCCGTTCTGTTGCGTAATCCATTGGAAAACACTATTCACGTGATAGTGTTAAATTATATTACGCACTTAGATTATTCCTATATATGTATCCGTTGTTTCTCTTTCTCTCTCTTCTTCTTCTCTTTATCATCTCTACTGCTGGTCATATCCATGTTGATCGTTCATAACCAACATTAATAAATTATATACATATATTTCTACGTGGCTTCATATTCATATTATGTATGTAAGCTTATATTTATATATGTAAAGAAGACATAGCTTCAGTATATATCCCCTAACATAAATAGAAGCTAACACTTGTGAACTGTGGAGTCACCAAATGTTTTTGTTTAAAATATTGAATACTGATTCCATAACTTAAGTGATAAAAAGGAGGAGTTTTCATATGCCAGGTGAATACCGAAAGTCAATACTAACTGCTTATCGTTGGAATCAAGAAATTTTTTTAAAATTCAATGAGAACGAATCTAAGATAAACCTTACGCATGACTCAATTCTAAGTCACAATAATATTTTACTGACTTTGTTGTTCAAAAGCATGTTTTTTTCGAAAAGGAATAATGGATTTCAAAATTTCAAATAATGCTTACATTTTCGTGAGATTCACTAAACATCGTTTTGTTCAATTCCAAGAACAATTCACTTGTATTGGCAATGATAGTGGCACTATTTTCAGCGACGTTCAATATTGAATATCGAATCCTATTTCGGTATTCAGGGCACGAGAAGTAATTTTGAAAGAGTGGTAGCGAATAGAGATGAAACGCTTCATGGTGTATTTGTTTTTCAAGATCACACTTGATGCACCAATGTTTGCTTTCAAGCCAGAACGGAGTTCGAAACGGTGCAATCAATGATTCTATGGTCACATCGTTTGGAATCCAATGTTTACTAACGTGGAATGAGAATTCAAACTTGTTCAATAAAGACAATTTCGATCGGATGAACTCCTCCCACCTAGAACCGTCAAACAGTTCATTCTTATATTCACACCTCGGAACGAGCAATCGAAGATGCTTTAATGCAGGTAATCGTGAAAGGAGTGCTTCAACATGGTTCATTCTTATATTTGTACAACGATTTAATAAGAGCGAAGTTAAATTAGTTCTCAGATCAGTATCAGAATCATCTATAACAACAGTTGTACCGAAACTGTTATTACAAAAGTTTTCTATAGCTAACGTTTGTAGATAGGGTAAGCGGGTAATAATATGATAAATTGTCTCCAAATGGCATTCATATATTGTTACGTGTTTCAAACTGCATTGATTAGGCCATTGCATCTCACTGATAACATTAGAGAATTCTTTAAATTCGAAATTGTAAAGATCTCGATGTGACAAGATAGATGATATAAGTGACATATGCATGGTGTTGTGAAATCTATCTAACGAAATTGAGAATGTTCTAAGTGAACATTTCATTATGTGGTCTTTGAATTTGTTCAAATCATGGGCTTCTACTTTGATAAGATTCAATGAATGCAGTCGAATGAACTGATCAATACGAAAGTGAGAAAAAAATAAGTTAACTTGATTATTTGCGCATAATTCATCCGAAATCGTAATTGAAACGACATTTTCGGGATTAATAATACGAGCTATGACGGGCAGATCAGATTGGAATATGTAACGAAAGTCTAATTCATAACGATTATAAGTAGTAGCCACAGAATAGAGTTGTTTACTCACACACCGAATCGAAAATAGAATTGTTTCTACATCGAGATAATCGAAAATTTGGTAAATTACTTCGATGGGTAATGCTGCAAGATGCGATTTGTTTGTAGTAAACATGCATAAGTGGTAATTCACTTAGTATAAAATGGTGATGCAGTGTTTCAAATAGAAATCTAAAATAAACTATAGATTACATGTTGGTTTAAGTCAGCAAAATATTAAAAAAATGTAAGCTTCGTTCAGTGCAACTGCATTTTCTTTTCTTTTGGCAGAATATTCCGAAAATCCTCAACAATCCATAATAATCTCGTCGTGAACAATCGTACGATTGAATCTGTCATCATTTTCAATCTTATTTCACAGTTCGTAGATAAATCTGAGAATGGACAAGCCAGAAAAAATACAAATATGTATCCTAATATATTCATGGCTTAAACATAATTTTCCAACTGAAAATAGTTTTAAAGTTTCGCCTCCAAAATGCGCACATCTTTTCTTTTACAGCAGTGCATATTTTCACAACTACAGATGTATGTATGTTTGACTTTCATTGTTTACACATGTGCCATTATAAACGCTGATGTTATGTATTTTTTTCCAGCTATACGTCAAAATTGTCTACCCCAATGTGTTGGATGATGAAGAAAAAAACGAAATAACAGCAGTCTTTTACGATTGGTGACTTATTTTTCGAGATGAACTCAATATAGTAGTAATATTACAAAAAATAAACAAAACTTTTTGTCTACCAAGCCATGTATTTAGTTTTTTTTAAAGCTGCAAGAGATAAACCAAAATAGAGGGCGCTATCTTGATGATGCAAATGAAAGATCTACACTAACATCCAACTTTGTAATTCTATAAAACCGAAACGAAGACTTTTTTGAACGCTTCATAACACATATTCAAATAGAATCGAAAATAATTATAAGATTTCAATGAGATTCGACTCTTTGCAATACTATTCGACGGCTTTCCCATGTCGCTCAAACCGATCGAGAAAAATCGGTTAACCGCGGTTCGTTTTTTATAAAAATCGGTTAACCGCGGTTACGCAAGCTATTTTAGCGACTTTACAGTGTAAAAACCGCCGGTTAACCGCGGTTAAACGCCCGGTTAACCGGACAAACAGTCGGTTCGCCCTCAATTAACCGGTTATTTATCCGGTTAACTGGGCGTTTAACCACGGTTAACCGTCGGTTTTTACGCTGTAAAGTCGCTAAAATGGCTTACATAACCGCGGTTAACCGATTTTTGTAAAAACGAACCGCGGTTAACCGGTGGTTTTCGATCGGTTTGTGCGATATGGGTTAGCACTATCTACTGAGTCGATCCGGATGAATAGCAAACAAAAGCTAATAACAGTCAAGTGCCATATTTCGCTTGTTCTGCTTTTCATAACAAACATCAATACTGTTTAAACTCGAAGTAATCTTGGGATTATAGGAAGGAAAATGTTTCTCCAGAATTCCCACTGTCCCTTGGTAATAATCACTAGCTGCATCCTACGTTGCTTCACTCGGGAGAGCGACGTCCATATTGTTCACACTCGAAGCAATATCTGGATGTCCCGAAGGATAAAGCTTCTCAAGCATTTCCAATGCTCGTCGATGATAATCAAGCGCTTCTCGTACTTTCCTTGATTAAGAAGTGTGATACCCATCTTCTTCAGACTTGAAACACTCTCCGGATGACCGGAAGGATAAAGTTTCTCACGAATTTCCAAAGCTCTTTGATAAAAATTCAGTGCTTCGCCATTTCTATTTAGTCTTCTTAGAGTAATACCAATATTTTTCAGAATCGTAGCAATATCTACATCACCAGATGGATACAGTCTCTCTCGAATTTTCAATACTCTTCGATTATATGCGAGAGCCTGATCGTACTTTCCTTGTTTATAGAGAGTGAAACCAATATTGTCGAGACTCCAAGCAGAATCCTTTGTGCTAGCTGGTTTAATTTTCGCCATTCGATTCTAGGCAGAATTATAATAGTCTCGAGCTTCGTCCCATTCGCCTTCAAAATAAAAAACTCGACCAATATTAAATTCAATCCAAGCGCTATCTTCAATATCTGAATCATTTAGTAATTGTTGAAAATATTTTCGTGATTTTCTATATTCTCCCAATTTACATAATAGTCTTCCAAAGACAGTTGCAACACTCAATTTCTCTGTTTATTGTTGTGCTAATTCAAGATAATCCTCTGTTATGTTGTGTCCTTCAGTTGATAGATGGATCTTAATGTTTTGCAATGAATCGTGTTCTTGATTTGACTCTATGAGAAAACAAGCATTTATATCGAATAAAATTTCCTCTTCTGGTGGAAATTCACTTGAATGACTTATATCAGCAAAAACAATGTTTTTAATATCATTTTGAATACGAAATAGAGCAGGTACAACATCCTGTCGCTGTGTTGGCTTCAGTGAAAAATGTAATGCTAATGGTTTTTCTGTGACTCTCTGATAAATATAATACATTAGTTAAAATGAGTTTTTCATGACTTTCTTTTAATTTTTCAAATTCTTCTTTATCGAGTTTTAATCCATGATAAACAACGAGAATTTCTTCTTTTGATGTTCTTGTTGAAGATTTCGCGAAAGATCACTCATAAAAAAGGTGAAGATCTTTTGTTCTTAGTGCTTCATTTATCAGCTTGCTAATAAAGCATGCTTTCTTATAATTACGTACACATGCAAAAATCTATTTAATGAAAATTTAAAAAGAAAGAGATATGCATGGTGCTCTTTTCAATCAACCATCTAATGATTTATTTTAAAAAATGAAAAGAAAACATGCATAATAGTGTATTTGTCTTTCTTCGTGTGCCATCAGTTGGTTACAATCTATTTGTTTTTGACTTTGGTAGTCAGAGCATCGAAATCAGAATGGTCTAGATGTTGATATTTGATGACTGCGAAACGTGGATGAAGTGAATGAATAGTATTAATATCGACTGTGTTCTTTAAAATTGCAAATGTATGACAATCAAATCGCTGCAGATTGGGTACACGTTGATGAAGAACGCGAGCTAGTTGGACGAAATCAATTGCTGAAACTGGATATGCCATTGGAAGACCTTTCAAGCACAAACGTTTAAGATTAGGCACCTGACTGAGTAAGTGATCAATGACAACGTTCAGTGACGGTTCGTCGCTTTGTAACGAAAGATAATTGAGTTGATGAGAATAATTGCTTTGTTGTACTAGATTATTATGGTCGAATCTTCCAAATAAAGTGAGACGAACGAGATTCGGACATGAAATAAGAATAGCGCGATAGGTGTTCACATGAAGAAGATGTGGATACGTGCCAATGATCAAAATACGAAGAGAAGCAGATGCTAGCCAGCGTCTGTTCGTCAGTGGTTCACTGAAAAGAATGCAGGTACGAAGGAGAGGAAAACCGTTGGAGAAGATAGCCTGATGAATTTCATTCAAAGAATCATTCCATCTGTTCGATATACCAAGAAAAAGATAATCGAGTTGAGGAAATAATGTGGGCTGAATTTGCACCAATAGAGAGTCCGTCGGACACTCGATTTTTAATGAGCGAACGTTCGAAAAACGTTTTAAATCAATTTTGCAGCTACCATCGGCCACCATCAATCGGATGTTACGTGATGAGAAATATTCTATTGATTGATCATTATCATTATCCGATGGCAACAAAACGAGAGAGATATTATCCAGTGAGTGTAGAAATCTATTGATTCGTTCATTGAGTCCGAAAAACGCTTGGTAAAAATGGCGAATATCCAAATAATCGAGGACATCAAGGATGATCTCATTCGCAAGATCTTCGAAACGTGTTGGAATATTCTCACTCATTTATTTAAGCGTGAATCAAATCTAAAAAAGAGTATGTGACCCAAGAAAATTTATTAAAAACCAGCGTTCCAATCAGTATTTTGCTCTAACGCAACCAATAGGACTCTATCAATCTTGATTGCAGAACCAAAAAGATCACCAAAGTTTTGCAATATGATATGACACTATTCTAATTGTAACATATAAGTCAATCTTACTAATTGTAAAACGTGCATAAATTTTTTCCCGTTTTTCGTTATCATTGCCATGTGTCAAACACCCTCATCAAGTTCAATTTTTCAAATTTTGCTTATCTCTGAATAAAAACGTGGAAACAACTCGAAAGAAGTTGATTTTGTCAAACTCAAGTCTAAAGCATAAAACTGATTCAGCTTAATAGATGACGCTAATGGTGTATGATGAAAAGATCAAGATCAGCGCCCTCACGCCCACGAGATCACGCATAGAAGAGAAAATCGATAACAATATCAAGCGTGCCAGAAAAATCCAAACAAAGATAATAAGAAGCGGAGGAAAGGAAAAAACCATGTATAGTGTATAAGATAAACCCATACCCTTAAGGCAATACAATTGAAATTCAATATGTGGGAAGAAAAGAACAAATGTCATTAAATAGTGGGGAATATAAAGTAATATTCAGTGAGTCCCATCGTATTCATCATGATTTTATGTAATTAAGCATGCTTCCAGAATTATCAAGCGATGTAAGATAGAATGCACAATTCGGTGTACCCGTGTGTTTGCAAGACTCGAATTAAAAAATGGGTGTAAATGACGCGAAGGTTCATTTTCACAATCATCACCACTTATTTTTATTGGTTTACGCTTGGGCTTTGATAAGTGCAATATTCATGGTACTAATGCAAAAATATGTTGATGAATAACAGCAAGAATAAACTGCCATACGAAAAAGTTCTACTGTTTAAATTTCCACATTTAAATATGAATGTCATACGCACACACTCCTTAGATGTTTTATTACATTATTGTACCATTTTGTTTTGGACAAAAATAATTTTCTCTCTAAAAGATAATTATTCTATTTCTAATGTTTTCATTAAAAATTCTTTATTAATTATATTAAAACAGTATATTTTCTTCTATTAATTCAAGAAAATTCTATCTAAATATTTGATAAACAATGTACAAAGATCAAACAATGAGAAATGCCTGGAACCATATCTTGTTTAGATATTCATTTAAAACAATATTTACAAAATTCAGGAGTATATGTTCTTGGTTATTAAGTTCATCTGTGATAGAAATTAAACAGTCAACTAATCCGGAGGTTTCTGTTGATATCGTTGTTCTGCTTCTTGCTTGATCATCGATTGTTGAACATGCGTTGGTAGACCTGGATTGAGAGTCAAAGCGTAAGGCAACAATGTTTTCTGCATATCTTCAAAATCAACCATGATTTTGATGAACATTGTATCATCGCGTACATAAGGATTTTCTTCCTTTTGAATCATTTCCAATGGAAAAAATTTCGGAATACCACTGGCTATATTCATGTCCGATCGAGGTCGCTGAAAACTACTCGATTTAGTGTCGGGTCGAAATGAATCGATGATGTGTCGTTGTGCAGGTGTTTGATCGTATAAACAAAATGTGACTTTATAACTGAACGGAAAAGTCAAGATCGGATCGTTTACACTTCGCATAAGTACAAAAAAGAGTGACATATGTGTACGACGAGCATTTCCATCACCATTTAAATACAGACGAGCCCTCGTTTTATAGCCAGTTGGAGATGAATAAAACGGAGGTGAATAAATTGATGTTTGTCTTTCAGATTGTGCATCAACTAGAATTTTGAGAAAACAAAATACGTGAAGACGAATAGAAACAAGTTAAAAGCAGGTGAGGGGATTTTTCTCTTGAAAAACTATTATACTTTTACAATTCACTACAGAAGCAATCGTAAAACATACTCATTTTCTTTTTAACATCTGCTATTTTCCATAGGGATGTTCCATCGTATGAAACACATTGTAAATCATTGACTTTTTCTTGTAGGGATGCGAAGTCTTGATTCAGAACTTCTTGATTGCATCTCATTCCTTCCAAAAACGTATTGGATTCTTCGACGGATATTTTAATTTTTGATAATTCCTCCATTAATTTTGGAAGTGTTACCTGACTTCGAAGTGATTCAGTGCTTAGATATTGTTGATCATTGTTCAATGTTTGAATGGCATCTGACAACATATTGACTACTTCGTAAAGCTCTTCCAATTGAGCTTTGACACGAGTACAGTCTCGTACAGTTGTCACTTGAGAAAACCTATTATCTACTTCACTATCGTTTAATTTTGATAACATCTGACGAATAACATTAGTAGTGACATTTTGATGATGCTCAGTTAAATAATGTTCATGCATTTTATCACGACCAATCTAAAGAAAGAACATTTTCATACGTCAACTTCACTTAGATAATATGCATACCTTTTCATCGCAGCCAAAATCTTTCAATTTACAATCGACAGTCCGTTTTTGACACACGAAAACTTGATGCTCATTGAATTGATGAATTGAATTGAATTCTTCGTCACAATATTCACATTTCGTATTTGAATGAGATTCATCAAGATGTTCCTTTGGAGAAAACAAAAGATATAAGATTGAGAAATAAAGCTGATATAGAATAAAGTACTGGGTAATTATTTAAGACACCGGTCCATTGACAAAAAGAACACTCGATGAATAATGTTGTCATGTCAGTCTTGAAGCCTCGATCACGCAGTACCTACAAAAACTAAATACTAAATGTTCTCACGAATCAAGAAAAAAATGTATTACTTCGTTTCGTGATGTTTTCAGCTGACATTGTCGACATGTAATTGATGTTCTTGAAAATGAAGAATGAAGATTTAAACTACAAATTGATAATAAAACTTACTCATGTTGAGTATCCAAACATGATTGACACTGTCGATGGCCACAATTAATCAATTGTACAGGTTCTAGCAGTATCAATGAGCATACCGAACAAATATACGTACTATCAAGTGTATGTTTATTTTTTGCATCAATCCCAACCATTAGTTTTATTTAATTAGTAATAAAAGAAATTTTTTTGTCGTTTTTTTTGTATACTAATATGCAATTCGATAAAAATTCTGAGCAATATCAAAAGAGATTAAAATACCTTACTGTTCTAAAGAATGAAAAGATACGAAAAGCAATGTATCTACAATTCGAATTTCAAATTTTTAATTTTAAACTTCAAAATGAAACATAATTAAGTTCAATATTCACTACTTGATCTATTTTTTTAACCAAAAGATCACGGCTAAATATATTTGGATGCTTTGGGAAAAAACAGTAAAGAGAAAGCAAACATATCGACCATATAAATAGAATAGAGAACAATTGAAATATCTCAAGTAGATTAAAGGGAAAGGGAATTGGTGGGAAACGTCGAAAAGGAAAATGTCGAAAAAAAGACAAAGAAAACTTCCATATATGGATATTTTCTTTATCTTTTTTTGGCATTTCCACCAAACCCAGGGAAAGAAAGAAATGACAATCCCACTGAGGTACACAATAAAAGAGCGCAACAAAGAAGAGGGAGAAGGGAGTGTAGGGCCAGGATGGAGTACAATATAGATATAGGTTATGTTTTTACTATCTTTAGAGGAAATGTCCAGAGGCAGCGGAGGCGGGACGCGACGGCATAACGTCACCTGTATTATGTGTTGATAGGGTGTGGGTGAGGGTGTGAGTGTGTGTGTGAGTATGAATGTTGATNGCAGCGGAGGCGGGACGCGACGGCATAACGTCACCTGTATTATGTGTTGATAGGGTGTGGGTGTGGGTATGGGTGCTAGTATTAGTGTGGATATGAATGTAGTACATTTTGAAATCAAAATGTTTACTTTTCCTCATAAATTGAATCAGGAAAAGACAGAATTTTAATTTCCCCTAGTGGAGATTAAAATTTCAATTTCCCCTGTAACATATCTACTGTTTCATTGATTATTTCTAATCTATAAATAAATTAGTGAATTCTGATTCAAGTTTCATTTTCTTATTTACTTCATCTTGTCATTTGCCGTCATTATCATTGTGGCATATGTCAATACTTAAACAGTGGCGTCTTCGCCTAAATCTTAATCGTTAAAATAACGACGTGACACGGTGGTCCACCCCGTAGTTGCACTGCTGATCCTAATAAGCTTGTTGAAAAACCAATTAGGATCGATGGGAATTCTTTGAGAGGCAATATTATCATTTTGGAGCAGTGATCAGTAGACTATTTTTTTCGCTCCAAAACATGTATTTTTATTTTAGCGATATCTGATTATCATTAATGATTGATATCCTGACGGGATAAAATAAAAGTAAACTTTTTATGTTGTCATAGGATTTATTTCTCTAGACGATTTTTCAGAAAGAGGAAAAAAATTAGCTCAAGAGGGTAAACAATCACTAAAATTCGTTTAGAAGAAAAAAAACTATCAAAATCAAGCGAATGGTGGAATTGTTTTACTACATAATAATTCGTAAATCAACTGGTTTTAGATAAAAATCTCACTATCTAATTGATGCACTAATATAACTCAGCAGAGATGGGCAAGTCAGCCTTTTTTCCGACTCAAGTCAAGTCAAGTCATTTTTTNCCAAGTCAAGTCAGAGTCAAGTCAAGTTATTTTTTAAAATTTCCTAGTCAAGTCAGAGTCAAGTCAAAAATGACTTGACTTGACTGGTTTTAAGTCAAAAATGACTTGACTTGCCCATCTCTGTAACTCAGACATAGACTTCTAAAACATATTCTGCCAATCACTTCGACATCCGATACAATTCACTACTTCAGAGTACTTCTCTGTATCGTTCAACACGCTTTATCATCCGTTAGATTTCCACTATGAAATTATTAACACATAGTAATCAGTCAATGTAGGTTTACAGTTTGTGATTATATATGTTAACAACGTCTCTAGCGGCCATCATGATCTGTGGCGATAACTGGAAACTGTCTGCTGTGGACTATGATGTCTGTGAAGATTGTTTGTAACACTCTTTGATGATCTCTTGACGTCATCTGCCACGGTCTGTAATAAAGAGGAATACAATTTTATGTCATATACGTTAACATCCTTCTTTCAAATCATGTTCAACAAAAGGTGACAAAATTCGATATAATTGTAAAAATATAACAATAGCTTCTGGTGTGATTCATCTTATATCAATACGGATGCGTTGGCAGCTGAGTCATTACTTTACTTGGAATGAAAAAGAAGTGAAACGTAAGCTTCTGATAAGATGACAGTAAAAGTATTTCCGTTTCTCTACTGAATAAGAAAGTACGGAGCCCGTGTAGATGCTTCGTATTGTATTAGTCAGTTTCGTCGAAAGTATCTTGTAAAAATAAGTTTTCGACTATTTCGACTTCCTAAGAAATTACTTTTTAAACGCGGAAAATACCAACCACGGCTATGAATAATAAAGTTTCATCATCAAACGATTTTAACTTCCTAGTTGGGTAGAATTGGCAATTTCTGAAGCAATACAATAGTCAGTAAAACATTTCCGATTGAAATGTACGCACTTTCGGCACAGCTATAATTTTAAATGCATTTAGTAAAGAAACTACTCGAAAAACCTTTTCTATTTTAATGAATAATAAAGATTACGAACAAAAGATAACTTATCGATAGTGGGAATCGAGTATGAAGGTTCTTCCAACGATGAATTTCTGGGTTTTTTTAAGAAAACATGCCATAAGGATGTGGGTATGGGTATTCTAGATGACACATCCTCTTTTTGAGAAATTTTCGACAATTGCAGTATTTTGATCATAGCCCCGTTATTTATTGGTGAACTCTAAATTGTTTTCTTCTCAAATGATCAGAAAAAACAACTAATCTACAAAATTTAACTACTTTATAAATTTTATAAAGCCGTTCTATTAATTTTTTGTTGTTTACCCATGGAATCATCCTGGTATATTTGCGTTGATTTCTCAAATTCTGTGTACTAAGGTTTGAGATTTCATGGAACTTGGCACTACCCAAACTTATCAGGCGTATTGATTTCTCAAATTCAATAACTCGAGAAATATCCTAAAATTTGGACAGATGTCTCCGAATGACGACTAATGGTCACGTATGAGCAAAGACCGATATTGGCTTGGTCCAGATAAGGGTACGAAGGCATTGCCGCTCTAGTTAAGCTACTCTAATAATCCGAAGATGAAAACACACATAGTCATTAGTTTTAAAAATATTTTATTTAAATGTAACTGAAAAGTTATACAGATAAATTCACATGAAAATGTATTCGTAGTTTCACCAACGCACGGTTTACCACATTCTGTGTCGCAGAGTTGTTCTCATGAAAGTAAGCATAGCGTTGATTGGCATGTATAAGCGAAAGTAAATTGTGTTAGATGCATTTTATTAGTGATGAATATTAGCAAAACATGAATTAAAAAAGATAATTAATAAAGAATAAATGTTCCACCATGTCGATAATACGTGATTGAAATTTCCCATGTACATGTATGTGTTTCTTATTTTCTGAAAAGAAAAGCATTATTGAGTTAAGTTTGAACAATGATGTTCTCAGTAAAAATATTAAGAATGGAATGTACAAATGAAAGGATAAGCTGAAAAAACTGAGAATTAATAGTACCATATGTGTATAGTTATCTACGTTTTTCAGAAAATGTTCGGCCGGATGTAGCATTCTTTTGACGAGTTGTATTCAAAATATGTAAATATGACACACAACGTACCAGACTTATTGTTAAGTGTCGCTCTATATTCCACTACTCTTCTAGCTTTGACAAAATGCGAAACTGTTTGTTTATATGAATGAAGATCACAAGACAAACGAATTTGTCTAGCAAAATCGCTATTCAAAATGTTTACCACTTCGAACTAAAGATTCAGAAAGGCTAATATACTCGAACACCACCCAGACAATGAATAGCTAATAAAAAGCGTCTATTCAAGGATTTTGGTCGCTGCATAATAGTGCTTAGAATTGGTTACGCACTCGAAGACCACACAGAGAAAGAATTCTATCTAGGTATATCAAATGTTGATCCAAGTTCTAATTGAGATACATGAGATAACTGAACAAAATATGAAATATAAGTAACAATTTATTGTGCAACACCAGTATCATTCGTTTTACTAAAGTTAACTAAAGCAAAAAGACACATAATATAATTGATCACATCTATATATATATAATGAACAAATTAAAATGCATATTCTTCTTACCAATATTGGAGTGTGGGTTTGGGTATTATCTTAGGCAAGATTCACACCCACATCCATAAAAAAAAGATACACCTATGCTGTTATAATTTTGAAATAAGTCACTAATATTGACTTACAAATTACGAAATACTGCTGATTTCTATTATACGCACTGGTTCTTTGTAAACATTAACAAGAGCATTTTACTGAAGTATACTTACTATAGTGATGTTACTTACTGTTCAAATAGTCTTCAGTTTATTGCTATCTAATGAAATGACACTTCTATATGTCTAATTCTCAATAAGAGTCATTCAATAAAGAAAGTGCAGCTTAGCGGTGCTTCTTCACCAGTTCGGCAATCTATTCAAGAGATAAAGTGCAGCAGTTAACCGTCAAATTAGTTACAAGAGTTACTCCCGCGTCTAAGCCATGATCGCCTCTGCTCACACAAAGATCTTCAATGTTTGTTAGACTTTTCAATAGCTTTTCACACGTTAATGTTTGAGTAAAAGTTCGAACGGAATCTCATCGATGTAATCGAATGAAGCCTATTGAAATGTGATGTGTTTTATTATTACTTGGTAAACGTCTTAGATAGTTCTGATAAGTAGATTGCTTTAAAAGAAACTAATATTCGAACTAAAATATCTTCACTAACACTGAAACCATGGGTGTTGGCCTCTATGTAATAACTCATAAATAGTTGAAAACATTGACAAAATGCTGTCAATTTTCCATTGCATTTACATTCTTGGTTTCATCTGTTGTTTAGCGTTGGACGTAATAACACTTATATGATTCTTCAATGAGCAAAATACGTATCGTCTC